GAAGCGACTACTGTCTTGTTTGGCTCAAGACACGTGGACCAGCAGTGAGCTGTGCGTGCTAAAAGTGTGAACTGTCCGAGTGTTTTGTGGGCTTGCCTTGCTTGCAGCAGTGCTTGGACGTGTTTGCTTGCAGACCTGAAAGACCTAAAGCTTTCTAGGTTTTTAACGGTCTCAGTACTGGTCGAGACACATGGACTCCAACCGTGTCACTTTTTACGGTTCTTGCTTCACTTAAAGACCCTTTGTGGAGACAATTGCTCTTTTTTGAACAGCTGGACGAGAGGGCCACTTTTCCGTGGCTCAGTCGCGTCCCGAGCTTGAGCTTGAAAGGGAGTTCTTCGTTGGTGATCCTTCGTGTTTGCCATCGAATGGTGCGGGAAATCACGATTTCCCCTTTCGGCATTGCCGTTCGGCGAAAACAAGCTTGAGCCTCTCGTAAGAGATTTTCTTATGTCATTATATTCAGTTTCCCCATATAACATTTGGAGTATATGTTCCTGCCGCCGTCTTCGATTTGGTACGACTACTATAGTTTCCAGTTTGCTTTATTCCCTGTATGACTTTACTCCAAGACTCGGAATTACAATGGAGACTCTGTGTAGCACCAATTTTCTTCGCGGCTTTTGGATTCCGGTCACAGAGTCCCCGCAACCCTTCGAACGTAGCGGGACACCGGAGCCGAAGAAGCTAGAACCAGCAGCTCCATAGGTGGGTTTCAGGATGCCTTAGAACCAGACTTCCGAATTGTTCAGGGTCCGAAGTTCCGCATGCAACCCTGTTTTGGACCCGGCACGCAATAGACCCCAGACCCTAAACCCAAAAACGTTTAACGCCCGAAGCCCCAACAGTCTAAACCCTCAAACCCTCGTTTTCGGGTTTAGGGTTATTTTGTCCAAAACCCCGAAGCCTCTCCAGGCTGGCAGCTTCGGTCACGGAAGCCGGCAAGGTCTCCACCTTTCGTCGGGTTTGGGGGCGTGGAGGGATTTGGAGCTTCGGGGAGGAGGGAGAGTTCTGGGCCCGGGTTTAAGGTTTACATAGGTTTCTGGGTTGTTAAGGCTTTTTTTGGTTTGGGGCCAAGGCTTTTGGGGGTGTTTGTGGAAGAGTCTCCGAATTTGAGGTTTATGTAGGGTTTTGGGGTTTGAGTGCCGTGGGTTTGGAGGCTTCAAAGACCTGAACCTACCACAGAATTGAATTCCTACATGATGCCCGGGACAGTGTCTAACCTTCGCAGGTTGATGAGCTGCGCAGCGTGGCGTGTGCTGTTGCTGCGGTGAGACAGTGTCCGGCCTGCAAAGCGTAGTCCGTAGACGAACGTGCTAGTATCCTGCCTTGGTTCCGTGTAGAAAAGGAGACCGCAAAGCTCTTGTTGGGCGTGGCAGTTGTACTGCGACCCTTTTGCAGAGGCGTGCTTACGCTCAAGAGCAGTTGTACTGGTAAAGGGTGTTGTCTGCTACAGGACGCGTACTGCTTCCTTTACTGCAGTTGTACGGCTTCTCCCTTGTAAAGGTTTTCTTCAAGCAGCAGCGGGGGTGAACGAGTCTTTCGTCTTACCCGTGCGGGTTGGATCAATTTCGGCTACCCGTCGTACGGGCCAGACCGCACCCCCACCGACCGCTAGGAGACAAAGAGAGAGCACAACGCGTGCAGCGTGGTATCGTATAGCAGTTGCTCTAGGACGAAAGTTTCGACGGTCAATAGTTCCTCTTCTTTGTGAAACTTGCTGGGCGACCTCTACGGCGAGTACCCTACGGTGATCGTCTTCCTGGCTGGGACCGTGTTCATCTTGGCGGCGGGGATTTGCTTTAGGGATCCTAGGCTACTTGTACATCGGTTGAGCCTGGCTGCGGGCGGGCCGGAAGCGAGAACCACAAGGCCAATGACGACAACGACGACGCGAACGAGAACGGCCACGAGGCCGACGAGAGCCACGAGGAGCTGCAGGAAGACCATGGCGACCAAAGCAAGCGGGAACCAGACGCGTAGCGAGGAACCACATCGAGGAGGACCAGAGAGGCTGGACAGGCTGACGCGACATCTTCACGGTTTGTCTCTCTGGGCCCTTCCATGCACGCGACCACGATGAGCAGTGCTGTGGCGGCGACCACGTGGCCCTGCTGGAGCTCAACCCAGTCTACTTACAGCAGAAGCCGAAGCGTAAGACAGGAGTCCTTTAGCACGTGAGGCTGTTACCAGATCAAAAATCTGGAACGGAGGGGCACTTTGGAAAATCCGATGGAGCAAGAATCAGCTTCCGTTGTGCAGATTCAGTGGCACCGCATGTGTGTGCTACCATGAGTGTTGTGTGCACGTGCATGGCCATGCAGCAAGGATGACACGCACGAATCAAGACGTTGCATCCCTTTGCGAGCTACAAACGGGCTGAATTTTCAAATCTCCTTCGTGTTTCATGCATGTCAATTTCCGGCATGTGGCAGTCTTGTTGACATGTTGCTTTTGATCTATTTCAATCGTCGTGTCCTTTAATTTCAAAGGACGGGCCGGTGGGAAACCCACATTCTTCGGTTGAAGCGAAACTGCTTTGTCTCGCCCACTTTCGGTTGAAGCGAAACTGCTTTGTCCCGCCCACTTTTACTTTGTCGACGCGAACAGTGTTGGTGAGAAACTGGCCATGCCCTCACTGATTCACCCCTCCGGCGGGGGTGGGGCATCAGCTGCTTCTGACTTTCAATCGAACCTTTCAGCCCTTATGAGTAGAATAGAAGATGAGCATTTTTGCAGCCTGTACGTGCTTCGCCACTAAGGCACGGCATGGCACGGCCTGCCACTAGCACACGTTCGATGCATAGTAACTATATAAGTTTCATGGGTGTTTCCAAAGAGAAATAAAAACAAACTCCGCAAAGCCGATGAGTTTTTCGGGAACAAAACCCATCATAATTTCGCAAGAAATTAAGATTTGAATGTGAAGTCGTGAGGGACTTTGTCGCGAGTTCCTTTTTCATGCAAGAACATATCTGCTCGTAGGGTGGCGTGGGTGGGACCCCGACAATGTTGTAGATTGTTTTCGTCCCGCGCGCTCAAAAACCTGATGTTGTACTCGAGAACGTAAATCGGTGGAATGTGCCGCCCATGCTCGTACTGTAAGTTTGTTAGCAGCACTTGAATGCATTGCACGATAGCTGATGAACCGTAGTGCCGTTTTGCTATTTTTTTTTCTGTGCTCGTTCTTGTTTTTCGCGGATTGGTTTGACCTTGCACAACGCATTGGGTGATCGACTAGTGATTGTGGATGTTCGAAGTTGAAACGGAGAATTCACCGATATCACCGATACTGGGTACGCATTTCTTGTGCATGTGCTCTGCTAACTGTCTGCAGCCGAGGCCGAGCTGAGGCTGAGCCGAGGCCGAGGGTGCGGCACGGATGCCTTGAAAGCCTGACAATTACCTTTGAAGTTCTCATTCCCCTGAGTGTGTTGTCTTGCTTAAGCCACAAGTACAGACATAGTCGCATGAAGGACACAGGGCTCCAAACAAACATAACACGAGTTCGCGTGGACACTTTCCAATTTATGACCTTGCGGCTTATGACCAGAGTGGAACAGTCGACAGTTAACGAGTGAGAGCATGCGCGCAGCAACTGATGGAGCCATTCGCATATGCCGGATCCCATGTGGAAAACCACCGCATCTCTGGACGAACCTTGACAGAAGATCCACACTCGAAGTAGTATTGTCATGCCACACCTTCGTTGATCAGGACATGCTGGAGTGCGGTGAAAGCTCCATACCCTCGCCGTTCTTTGTGCGTCGAAGGCAGCTAGCTTGTGCCACGCTGGAATGATTCTTGTTCATGACTGTAGGGCCAGATGTTAGATTGTGCTCGGAACAGATTTCAGTTTCCAGGTGGTGCAGCCTTTCGGAAGTTTCTTGGTGCGAGTTGCAACAGGAGCGGCAATATGCGCAGTGTTGGCTGGGCTGTTGTTGCATGTTTTCGATCCTTGTAAGGAGTCCTTTCCAAACGATTCAAGAAGCTCGCAGTGTCGTGGGGCAATTTGGATGTGAAGTCCAGATCAGCCCGGAAGCTCGGCTGAGCCGGCCGTTTCTGCTAGTCTGTCCAAATATCGCCACGGTTTCGTGCAAGGACTCAAGCGTTGGTGTGACAAACTTTCGCAGATCTCTCGCGTGTCGTCGCTGTCGTCGCTGTTAGGCTGTTGGGAACGGGGCTGCGGCTTGTGCGCCAATTTCCTTTGATTTGGAGTTCCGTAGTTTCGTCATCCTTTGCTTTTTTGGTGGTTTGGGGAGTTAGGCAGCGTCTTCTGCTGTTACTTGCCTGTTGGTGCTCTTAGTATACGACTTTTGTGGCTGGGTGTGTTGACGGCCATGGTGGCAGCGGGAGAAGAAGGTGAACAGCCAAGACACTAGCTAGTCACTGCTATCCTCGGGCCGGCAAGCCATTTAATTAATTGTGTGTTCGGTGAGCTTGACGAACTCTGCCGGGGAAGGGTCTCGCTGATATTATGGGCTTGGACAGCAGGTGACGTTTCGACATCCCCGAACGGGACCCCGCAGGCTCTTCTTGTCCTTAGTTCAGATGTGGGTCAGGTGATTGGGGAAGTTTCGTTTTTGTCTCCTGTTGCGTTGCATCCGAGGCGAAGTTCCAGGATTTGAGACATCTCAGCTCAGGGGAGGACCGCGTGCGTGAGTCCCGGAGGCAGACAAGAGTTGACGAGTGACTGGATCGTTGTTGTCAGTCAGCTGCTAAGAGGTGCAGACTTGCCGACTTAGGAGCTGCAGCAAACACTGGATTTGTCTCGACTTCAGCACTCCAAGAAGCCTTCCTGGGAGGCCTTCTTGCAGGCCTTGCTTTCTGCTGGGGGTCCTTAGAAACGAAAAATAATATGGACGCCTGATTCAGAAACCTCCCCCCCTAAAAGCGATCACAATTATGGGTAGCGGTCTACACTAAGTGCGTGTTGAATTGGATGGAGATGCCTCTCGAACTTCGAACTGTACTCAACCATGAGGGGTCATCGGACCGTGGCTTCGGATCACCGAATTGCAAAGCTCGCTTAGTCCGAGGTCCCTCTAGTGTCCAAGTTCGAATCTGAACGCTGAAGCATTGTTTGGATAGTGTCTTGGTTCAATTTGGCAGAGTTGCATCTGCAACAGGCGGTGCAGTCATCTCCTGGGCGCCCCCAGCAGTACTTGTAGTTTTCATGATGCAAGAGACGGATGTATCCAAAAGTGCAGATGCGAGAAACACAAATCTTGATAGGGAAGCGGTGGATGCCAGCTTGGTTGGTGCGAGCGACCGTCCAGTTTGCGGGAAGATCAGGCAGGACAACAGCAAGATCTTGTCCAGATGCCCACTGCTTTGCAGCGCATGCAGTTGTCTTCAGGCTGAGAGAGGGCGTGCCATCCAGGCAACTCTAGTTTCTTGGCAGATCTTCCTTCGCCATGTACGGGCTGGTGACATCGTGGGACAGACTTGCGTTCAGTTGTGGTGTAGCCCAGGTCTGCTATTGCGACGTGTCTGCATCTCTTTTTGCGTACTCGCCTTCCACATGCTGAGAATCAACCGTTTCATTAGCTGCACGGCATGTCGGTGTAGGACATGTGGCCGAAATTCGAAGCTTTGGTTCTGAAGTGTTCTCATGTTGGTGGTAACGTCGTCAGTGGTAACTTGTGGCAGTGCTTCGCTGACGGTTGCACAGCTCCGACTTGTAGTCTTTTGCGACACAGCCGGTCTGAGAACTCCGAGCCATCCCGAGCCTTTAGCACATGAGAGGGCATTGCGGCAGCTGCGATGCTGACCACGCATGTCTTCAATCTGAGTGGAGGCGTGTAGTGTGGTTCAGATTGGAGCTCTTTTTGGTGGTCCAGGTTGAGTTGGGCTCTATTCCTAAACACTGCACACTGCTTTCTGAGGTCCGCCTGGAGCATGTTTTACAATTTCTGGTGAGCTGCTGCTCGATGGAGCCAGCTGCGATCCTCCACCTGGCCATTCGGTACCCTGGATTCTCCTTTTTTTTAAATATTGCTGATGGCACATGAACTGCCTCATGCTTTTTGGGCTTGTTCCACTGTTTCGGCTCTAATCCTTTCGCTCTCTGTGGAGGAGGCAGTGTAAGAATTCGAGGCACTCGGCCTGTCACCATGCATGAACATGCAGTAGTATGCATGCGACACTTCGCTGATACGGTTAGCGCGCATGAGTGGTAAGTAGCAGCTCGGAGAGTAGTTGTGGTTGCTAGACCTCCTTGCGCTATGATTCGCATGCCAAGGTCTGCCTAAACGGAAGACGGTTTGCAGTCCTACCATGGAAAGCGGCCGGTGACTCCGACATGGGCACCTTGATTGTGTTCCCATGAGACGTACGGCTCCGTCGACGGTAGACCTGGCCAGTTTAGACGTTCTCGGAAGGTCCCCAGAAGTTGTCTTAGCGATAGGCTGTGCCCGATGATGGGGATTATTATGGATTATTAGGAGCCAGGCCTGTTGCAACGGAACATGCCATCATGAACTTCATTGCAAGTTGTGTTTGATCATGATCTTCTACCAGATTTCATTTTTTTTGCGTACGGTATGGTGGGAGCAAGAGCGCCAGTGATCACAAGAAGGTGCAAGCCGACTGAGGGCGGACATCGCGAAGAAAACAGCAGCGGCAGGAGCAGCAGCACTACATGATGAAGGGTAGGCTGAAAGTGTGCTGCGAGGTTTGCAGGACCAACTCAGCACAGACTAGTTCAACAATCAAAATCGTGGATATGAGGGAGTCAGATCATCAAGATGTCAGACGAGGTCGAAGAGCCAAGGAAAGCAAAGAAGATAGGACAACAAAAACCCAGAGCCCGAGAATGGGTTGGAGAACCCAAGACGTACCACAGGATTCAGGACCTCTTTGGATTTTCAGAGGTATCACGCAGGTAATACGCAGGTAAATGAGCATTTTTGTGAGACTGGAGAGTCACCGGAGACAGTTTGCGTTCTGTCGCACTCTGCGCGTCACCTAGGGATGGATATGGTCAAGGACTTTGACGACAACTGGCTTGACATCCCCGCTGGCTGGCAGCTGAGCTAAGTTCAGTTGTATTGACGAGTGTGCCTGCACATATGGCTTCGTGAGGAAACCCTACGAAGTTTGCCAGGATTGGGATTCAAAAAGACAGCAGACTGTGGTAGGATTACGCTGACTTCGCATAAATTCAAGCTTCTTGACGTAAGAAGCTCCTCGTGTTGCCGATTCTGCTTGGCAGGAGTCTTGCCGTTGCAGGTTCTTGCCATTGATCTGACACTTTTTCGAGCCCAATGCAGATGCTTTCTTGTGCCTGGTGCGATCTGATACAAGCTGTCTTCATGCAGTTAGAGCAGCTTGTGGAATGGCAGGACTTCGAGCAGGTCGTGTTGCCGCAGGTGATTGCAGCAAATTCATGGGGTGACATGCCTCAACGGTAGACTCTAGAGGTGTCCTTGCACATTGTTAGCAATCGCTCCTCTCCAGCACACGACGATTTTTTGTTTTGACTATCCTGAGGTACCGACATGGTCATCGTGCGTCGTGGCAACAAGTGGCCGGGTTGGAAAACCGGAGTTCGAGGCAGGTTGCTGGCTACTTCGGCTTTCCGACTTCGGCTTTCCGATGACATGCAAACGGGCCAGGGCAACAAGCCACAACACATTGAGCCTAGAACCATTGAGCAGTAATTACTACGAATTGGCTGGAATGACAGCACTGACCAGCCTAGGCTGCATGGTACTGGAGATGTGACTAGAAAGCAAAGTTTGTCACAGCTGCCGCCTGCCAAGAGGCAGGAGTGCAAGCTCTATTTGCCTGCCGACATCCAACGTTTGGGTAGCAGTCCTCCACAGCTGTTACATTGTTAGTGTCCAAAAACGTCACCCTACATAACTGCAGAGGATCGGCAGCTGGCGCTGGGAAACGACTGAGCCCCGTCCTTAGCCTATCGCCTGCCCCTGATTGCAGAATGGCCCGAGGGTTGGTGGTGGTTTGTTTGTCCTTCTTTTCTGTGTGGCGGATATGTGGGCTGGTGCAATAGGTTCCTTCCATCTGCCCTGCTTCAGTCAATGCATCCCTACGAGCACCCGAGGCAGGGCAGGGAAGGGCTCAACACCGAGCGTCGGCACCGGTGTCTGTTTGTTCGGGGCGTCCCCCTCAGTTGCAATCGACTCCTTTCTTTTGCGCTAGTTTTTCCGGATTGTTATCGACCTCTTCGTCGCAAAGTTTGGTATCCCGGGGTTGCTACGGACGCTTGCTGGCGTGTTGGGGTTATCCACCGGGTTGTTATCGACCTTTACGTGGCAAATCTGGTTGGTTTTGCAGGGGTATCCTCCTGGTTGACATCAACCCCTTCCTTCGGAAGCGTGTTTCGGATCGAAGTGGTGTTGCTCTCTCAGTCGCGTCTGTTCTTATTTGTTTTTGTTTTTGTGTTGTGTGGTCGTTGCCCATGTTGACGGTCCCCGGACGCGGCCGTTAGCGCAAGCTTTGTACGTACCAACTTCAGCCGTGTCGCTGAAGCCGTGGACTTACTCTGTCCCGGGTTCGTGCTTTGTATTTTGTGCTCAGGGTAAACAGCTCATCAAGCACGGTGCTCCTTGGGTGTTGCACCTCGAACACAAGCAGGCCTTGTCTGGTAGTATCCGTGGCGTACGGCTGCATGCTACGTTGCTCGTTCTCCCGCGTTCTGGCGTTGGCGCCGCTCTCGTACCAACTGCCTCCCTTTGACTTCTGTTGCGTCGGCGCTGCCTGGCATTTTCTCCGAGACCCTGGCTGCTTTGTGCCACCATGCTTCTTGCACTTCCCTGCGTCCTCTCGACCCGTGGCCAAGAACCCAGGCCTCACAGGCCGCGGGCGCGTGCAATCCGAAACTTCCCTCCACCTGGACACTTGGGGCCTTGGGTTTTCCCGCTCCCTCTCGGTCGATCCTGTCCTGTCCAGTCTTACCAGCCATAGCCCTCCGTGCTTACGGTCATCACCTGTTCTTTGTTGGTGTATCAGAGCACTCTTTCATGTACATGTTGGTTGGCGCCCACTGGGTGAGAATCACGTTGAAAGGGATGCTGGATCCTGCCTGGGAACTGCTGACCCGGTGGGAAGCAGTCGAGCCCGCGGTGCATCGCACGCCTGAGAGCGATGGTCGCCGTAGCTTGACTCCGCCCCTTTCGGCATTGATGTGGCTGCGCCCTCATCGCTTGGTATGATATGGTCTGGTCTGGTCTGGTGTGGTGTGGTGTGGTGTGGCTAGGCTGGGCGATTTTGCAATGCGAGCGAAGGCACCTGCTTTTGCAAGATGACTTTGATTCTGCAAATGCGGTATTTCTTCGGCTGGACACTTCATCCAGAGACTTCAGCGAGAGGTCGACGACTGAAGGTGCAGCACGTCCCCGTTGACGACCCGGTTGCCATGGAGTTGATCACCCATGCCATACCCATGCCTTTCAAGGCCTCGGGACCTCGGAGAAGTTATTTCCCCGCAGCCCTTCGGTTGTTGGGATAAATGCTTGTTGGTCCTCGGCCTTGTTGGCGCGGTCTGTGTTACTCCTGATGGTATGCACGGTTGCCGCCTATCACTGCGGCGACCCCATACAGGATGTACTGTCTGCCGCATATGTGTACGCTGGAGCACTATTTGCAGGGGTTGCTGCCGTCGGCGCCTGTAATGACACGAAGTTTCCGATTCGGTGGGCCCTGCAGTTTTATCAGTTTCTCAGCCATGGCTCTGGAACGTCGCTTTGCACGCGAATGCCCGTAGCGTAACACCGTACACGTCAGCTGCTTTTTGTTGCAGACTGGTCGTTGCTAGAGGTGGAAGCGACGGCTCCGAAACACTGGACTACTTGCTGCAAGCCTTCTTGTATGGGCTAAAGCCTTCCTTGTCCGTCTTTGCATACCGCTACCGGCTTGCCAATGTGGCAGCACACACAGCCCGACTATGCGGAGGGTGAGGATGCGGGTCAAACATGTTTTTGGCGTGCTGTTTCTTGTTTTTGGCCGCTTGTTGTTTTTGGTTTTCTGTTTTCTGTTGCTGGCATTCTATTTCTGGTTCCTGGTGTCTTGTTTTGTGTTTCCGTCATTCTATTTCTTATTTGTGGTGTCCTGTCTTCGTTATTTTCCATTTCTGGCATTCAGTTTCTTGTTTCTGGCGACCTGTTTTCTGTTTCCGGTGTTTTGTTGCAGATTATCTTTACGTGGTTTGTTTGTTGTTTGTTTCTGGTGTTTTGATTCTTGTTCCTGATGTTCCGTTTCTGATTTACATTTCATGTTTCTTGTTTCTGTTCATAGTTTTTTTTTTTGTTCTGACGTTCTGTTTATTGCTTTCCGTGTTTCCTGTTTTCTGTTTCTGTTTGTTGCAGTGTGATTTTGCTTGTGGTGTTCTTTGTCTTGCATGGGCTGTCCTCGCCGAGGCGTCCGTCTCATGGTTGGATGGGTTGTCCGTGCATGCAGGCTGCATGGGCTGTCTCCGAAGCTATCGGTGGGCTGGATGGGCTGTCAGCGCCGATGCTGCCTGGTCCTGGGTTGGATGGGCTGTCCCCGCTGGCTGGCTGGATGGGCTGAACGACACGCATTTCCTGTCTCCGTCATAGCCTGCATAGCTGCTTGTCCGGACGCTCTCAGGTTCTCATGTCGAGTGGTTTGAAACGGACCACGCGGGTCGCAGATGTGTTTTTCGTGCGGAGGAGAAGCTGCATTGCGGGATGATGTTTGTTCTTGGGACCTGAGCCTTATTTAATTAGTGTGTTCAATCTACGCATTGTATCCCAGACAGGATCCACAGCGCACTCCATCGAAGAAGTTGGATCCTCTCTGGCGGTCATGGAGTGGTGCCTGCGAAGCACAAGCGGCGATTTGGATGAGGTTTCGAGGAAGGTTCGAAGAATGTTAGACTTGAGTTACGATGTCAATCGTGAGCAGCCCTTCTTATGCAGCAGCAACCCTAGGTCGATTGCTGCTGGAGCGCGTTCCAGAAGCCGGGCAGCAAAAGTCTACGCGGATGCATGTGTGTGTCTGTGTGTGAAGTTTACTTGCCTCTTCATTCCCAGTTACTTTAGATTCGCGCTGTGAGCTGCTTGCAATTAGGATTCCACCAAGATTGGCGCGTTCAAAGCATTGCTGCACCTGCATGCTCCTTGTCGAAATAGTGGCTTTGCAGTCGCAGACGACGCTGACATGACAGATGAGGCTCTGGAGTCCTGCACCGCAGATGAAAGCACATCGAAGTGAGAGTAAAAGAAGACGACAAGCGCTGCTGTCCGATCATGAGAAGTTGAATTTGAGAGAGGTGATCTCGGCAGAATCTGATGCTTGCCATGCCAGGTTCCGAAAACTTTCATCGCAGTTTGACTTCCTGTGAAGCACAGACGGTGGGCTGCAGTCTGTGACGTGTGGTAGACGTACCGTGCTACTCGGGTTCTGAGAGGTGACTTCCGGCTGGACTTCCCGCCTGCAGTCCCCGCTCTCGCTGCCAGACATGAGCCTGTTGCTGCCTTTTTGCAGTTGACGCTGACAGAAGTGGATTGGCTTTGCTTGCGGCAAGACTTCGGGAGTTCCAGATCTTGGGGAGTCGGGGGCTTAGCAGCTTGGTGTTGACACAGGTGATGCGATCTAATAATCCTGCTAAGGAGCAGTGCATGAACAGTTTTTGAGACGAAGTGCAGGAAGCTCAGGTTTTTGTGAATGCATCGTTGCAGAATGGCCTCTCCCCTGCGGTTCGGTTTTCTGTGTCAGATCAACTGCACATGTATATGCGTACTTCTGGAGGCTTGGACTCAGACTTCTATTCATACTGTTGATGGACAAAATTCTGCATGACCCAAATATAGTACAGTACCATAAATCCCATAGTTTAAGTATATAGCGTCATGCAGGATTTTGTCCATCAACCGTATGATACTGACAGAGTGGCATCAGTGGTTTTCGGCCCGCAAGAGCATGTCACTATGCACGTGGAGAGCAATTCGACAAGAGTGTACCTCAGTGAAAAGCAGCGTGGTAAAGCTGCTAGAAGCCGCTCCCGTATTCCTGATCTCGAGGTTTTGCATTTTAGCTCTTGGAAACGGGTCATTTCAGGTAATGCGAGCCCTTTCAGCCCGCAGTCGCTCAGCACAGCATTGCTTCGGAGAAAGCCGTGCCAGCAGTACCCATTACAGATCGAGCATCCGTAAGTTTGGGGACACAAGCTACATTCAGACACAGCGCGTGAACGAACAGTGTTGTCAGTTCTTTCTCGAAGCTGTTCGCCGAAGTATTGTTCACATCTAGCATAAAGAATTGTGCCTGTGCTGCTCCCAGTACATAACATGTCCAGCACATGTCGTGTGTAGCAGGTCCGTGCGTTGACGAGCTTTTGATCCTGCCGCATTTGTGAGCTTGCTAGTGCACCTCGCACCTCGATTGGGCGACAAACGAACGGCACATGATCTCTAAGGCTGTCTTTATCTATCGAACTGGGTATTCTTGTTCTTTCTTGTGTTGCCACTGCATGGCCTCATGCTCGCCTTTGTCCTTTTTCTTTGTGGGCATGATTCCGCCTTCATGCCTGTGTTTTTGTTGTGATGCTAGAAAGAACTCCAATATATCTTAATCTTAATCACATTTCAGCATATATAGTCATATAGTGTAAAGATGTGACCTGCGGGCACCAAGGCTTCCGTTTGGGCTCAGGATGTTCGATGCTTGAGAACTCCTCGTGCGAACCGTTGCAGCTTACTTAGCCTTTTCTTCCACAGAAGAAAAGCGAACTGGGCCAACCCGAGCCAAGCCACGCCGCATCAAAGCCCAAAACGCGCCACGCCGAGCCACGCCAGTAGCCAGCCATAGCCAGCCCACCCAAGTCAACAGAAGCCAAGCCAAGCCGCACCAAAAGTCAAGCCCACACCTAGGACGAGCCAACGAGCACAATAATTCCATCCGCCAACAAACGTTATTAGTCAGCTTGCTTATGCTTGCTTGACCCGACCCAAGTAGGGGCCGAAGCAGATGAGCAATGCCCGCCAACCAGCAACTGTAATCATGTATATAGTTTTGTCGAAATCTTCATGCTTGGGTTGAAACGCAGGCAACCAGCTTGGGACACAGACGGACGATAACATGTGCCGTACAGATGTGACCCATTGTTGCAACCACTTGCACAATCGGCTGTGTCATTTTTCAAGTTTCGTCCTACAGTCCTCCGACACTCACAGCCCTCGGCTAGGATCTCAATACTCGTTGAACTGCATGCAGACAGTGTTTCCAGACGATCCCGCTGCATCTCTTGACGATCTTCCCTCGAGCACGTAGAGGTACGTTTTGCTCCTTGGTGCTTGAAGCGGTCATCGCGAGAACCTAGTCGAGCAGTCGAAGATCTTACAGGGTGAGGAAACGGCCATGGCGTTCAGGCCACATGGTGCCACCTGGGTTTTGGTGCCGCTACACATGCAAGTGCCGCAACAACTTTTCGCGTGTTTCAGGCGACCTAGAAAACAAAGGCATGAATCGCGGCCGTGGAGAAAGGTGACTTGCTTGCTTCCACTTACAGCTGCCCGAGTCGCTTACATAATATGTGCCAACCAACGCGGCGCAAGCGTGCGAGCGGCGACTAGGACCGAGAGCAAGTCGAGTTAGCCCGTTTGGAGTCACGGCAGCGGCGAACTCTTTGTCCTTTCAGTCGAACTCATTGCCAATCATTGCCAAATGGTTTGCTTCATTGTCCGTCCAAACCCAAAACCTTCTGGAGGTGTGGTATGTATGAACTTGCAAACGGCACTGCTGCATGCGGTGTGGAAGATTTCCGGGGGCAATTGTGGTATCGTCAGGCGTGAAGGACGAAACGGCAGGACAGTTTGGAGACCACAGAAGACGTGCCACAAGCTTCCTTTATCTGCAATTCTTGAGCGGTAGATGGCCAGTGTTCGTGAAGCAAACGGACTGTGCCACCAAATGATATGGAGCTTGGTAGACTTGATATTGGATACACAGCTCGCCCTAACCATTCATGGACACGTGTGAACTTGTGCTTCCGGCCTGGGCGAGCAAATCATAGCAAATCAACCACAATCTACTACAAGTGCAGAATGTGTGCATCTAACACTATCGCACGCGACCGCGAAAGTGAGGCTCGGGTGCCGAAGGGTCGAACTGTCCAACCGCCAAGACAGGGAGCAACTTGATGGGAAGCAAGTCAACCTGCAGCCAAGGGTTGCAACTGGGACCACATCGCACACAGCGACCATAGGACTTGCTCGGGACTTCGTTCTGTCAAAGCCGCTTTATGAATGCAGCGGAGCCACAGCATGGAACTGACAATACCTTCCATCTGGCATCTGGGCGAACAGCATCGCAAGGCCTCAGCCAAGGGAATGTTCAGCTCAATGTCGCTTCTCTCACAGGCATCCAGCGGATGCCCACGAACTTATGTTGTGAAGCAGCTGCACCAGCAGCACCAGCTCAACTGCAAAGTCGTGTTCTGCGGGTGGTGCAGAAGGACACCCCGTCACAACCACACTGTTGTTAGTGCGACTCTAACCCATGGTCCCGCGAGGTAGCAGATCGTGCAACCGTGCTTTTGCAGCCTCCGAGTTTTGACAGAGTTTATTTGGGGAGCGGAGAGCTCGCTGCACTATCTGCACTGCAGAGCTTTTGCAAGCAAGGGCAAGCAAATCCTCAAGCAACTGGGCCGCTCGACCAAATAGGCAAGTCATCAAGGAATCAAGCCTACTGAAAGGGCGCAACCTTCGCTGCACTCCACTTGGGATGTACCATCTTCGGCAGTGATTTTCAGGGCTTTCTCGGCAGGCAGTTTGGGATCGCGTCAGGGATGAGAGTTGGGACCATCCATTGCCTGGTGGCAGGCCAGAATGAGACCCCAATGAGCCGACGCGATCGATTTCGACAGCCTCGGCTTCAATGAGGGTGGAAAAAGACAGCATGACTTCGCAACACACTGGGGAAGCAAGTTAAAATCCGCAGCAAGGGGCGTGCAAACCACAACTGCTGATCCCGAATGGAAAGACACGGAGGTCACAAGTAGCATGTCCCGAAGACAAAGATGGCAGTCTCTTCGTGCCCGTGTGGCTCCACAGGATTGAGAACTCCGCAAACGCGCCAGCGACCAACAAATCATGGGCTGCTTTAACTGCAGACCCACACTGCACATTGTCTCACATTTTACTTGAGACTGAGACGTTGGCAAGAATCATACCTAAACTATCCTGAACTCGCATGCACTGCTTATAGCTCAGCTTTTTGCACAGTCCATTCTTCGAAAACTTTGGTCCAACAGCACAACATAACGTGAGATTTTGCAAAAGCGTGTGGCCTTAGACTTAAAGTGATACTAGACCCGGTCCCAGGCCGAGCATGATCAAACCAGCATGCATGGTGCCATGCTCAAACACGCTTGTACGCCACCAACACACACACACACAGAGGCCGAGGAAGGACAGGTGGAAAACCGAGGTTCAATTACTTTTCAGCTACGCAGGGGGGGAACCAGCATTTTCAAGCAAACGATCTAGCGTACTGGGTAGGAGCTGAGACAATTCCAATGGGCATGGCAGATAATCAGATAGCGTTCTGTTTGATATTGAATTCCGATGAGATGTGAGTGTTATGGGTACTATATCTTGTTTTCAGCTTCTTGCTTCGCGCGTTTATTTCGTGGACTTGATTTCAGACGTGGGAATCCTCTGTGCTGGTGTCGCATGAGTTGTACTGAGCACGACATGTCCATGCAGGTCTTCGTGGGAATTCAATGATGCCGTGCGGAAGCCTAGCGAGAGTGGGAGATGACACCCGCAAAAGCTGGAGTGCTGTCCATTCTGACTTCGGCTTGGCGTCTCACGCAACCCTGGCTGCTAGCCCAGCTTCGGTTTTAAGCCATGCTTTCCATTCTTGCTCCGGTCGCCTTGCGCAGCTTGCGGCTTGCATGATGAACTGCAAGACACCTGCAGAAATGCAGCTCGCACTCAGCTCAGATTTTGATGCCATCAGCACTGGTCAGGCAAAATGCTGAGATCCAGTGCAGGGACCGTGGAATTTAGGTGTCCAGCTATGATGGAAATCTAACGTCGGTGCTGTTAGCAGAGGTTCTCGGATTTACAATAAGGTGTTGGAGGCAGCAGTTGTCAGATAAAGAGGTGAAGGCCACTGCAGATTGCGTGGCTGAAGCTCGCTTCATCTTGAGAAGATCTTCTCGTGCGTGTCTCTGTACGTCTTCAGCACAATCACTTAAACGATCTCCACCGAACATTTCGGATCAGAAGACATTTCATGCTCTCAGCCGGCGTGGCGACAGGCTTGAAACACATTAGTGTTTTCCTCGAAGCATGCTGCATGCACTCTGGCCAGATATTGGAGGTCATGGAGGGCTCTACAGATGCTCACAGTGGGACCCACGAAATAGGGATCGTTCGTGCCGACCTGGGGCGACCATCTGAATTCATTGTGCCTTGGTTCTTGTCTGCTTTGTGGCTTTTGCCTGGACTTAAGGTGCAGCCAGTAGTGACTACGATCCCAAGAGACAGCTCTTCGCAGACGATGCGCTAAAGAAGGCTGGTGCTCACTGTCGCTAGAACCTGAAGCTTTCTTTGTGCACATGTCCAGGAGTGGGCAAGTTTTTACGATCTGATCCCCAGCTCCGACGCGCCCTTCCTCCATGCGACGGATGGAAGGAGACCACTGAGTCGGATCCTCGGCAGCTTCGCAGAGTTCTGGTGACACAGCGAGTTTCGTGGAGGCTTAAAGGAGCTCAAGGAGTTCGTCACCAGCGATCAGGTCCTGTGGGCTCTCAGGTCATCTCGGGTCAGCTCGAGCTCAAGCTCGCCGCAGGTCGAAGTTCTAGGGCTTGGTCGCGAGGCCAAAGCCCACATGGATTAGTGTCGCCACCTGTGGTGCATGAGCTCACGAGTTCCAGGACAGACTGTGTACAGCCATACCCAATGGCGGGAACCTGATCTTTCTATGCTCGAAGTGCGATGGCTAGTTGTTTTCCGGGAGGGCCCAGGCGAAGGATTCGAACAGAACCTTTGCGGTCGTCCCGGCACGCAGTTTATGCCGAGCTGCAGGCCCCGAAGCAGCCGTGTGCTTCTTCGCTTTTGCTTTGCGATGTACTTTTGCCACTCTCTCAGTGCACGGCGAAGCTGCCAGCAGCTCGTCAGCGCTTGACAGCCGGCCCTGTTAAAGCAAAGGCGCCTCTCAACATTGGTCTCAGCCGAGACGAGTCAAAGACTCAGTGGCGCAAATTAGTAGTACTGCTATCAAGCCGGGAGCAAGGGCCACAACGCAGAGCTTGGGCTTGCAACTCACGCAAATTCTGCTTGCAGGTTTGAGTTCGAATTCACCGACCTTCCAGCCAAGGCTGGTCATGTCATGTGAACCCTACCGGACTTCCAGACAAGGCAGATGGGCTCAACATTCTGAAGCCTGTGGTTTCGGACATCTCCCGGGCATTGAAACCTGCCGGTTCCTGACAATCTGGATTGCGAAAGCCATTCTCACCACAAAGATGGTCCTTGCCGAGGCTGCGCAGCTAGACAGAGACATGCAGACAGATTCTGGCCTGTGAACTCTTCTTGGGTGCTTGCAACACGTCCTGCTCTTTTGGGTCTCACCACTCTCCACCTCCATCTCCATCTCCATCTCCATCTCCATCTCCATCTCCATCTCCATCTCCATCTCCATCTCTATCTCGCTCTCTCTCTCTCTCTCTGTCTCTGTCGCTGTCTCTGTCTCTGTCTCTGTCAGTTTTTTTTTTCTCTCTCTCTCTCTCTCTGTCTCTTGTGGTGTAACACCTGTAATGTGTGCAGGGGCAAGTCCGTCGTACGACGCACACGCCGCAGCTGCTGCTGGCTTTGCGTCGCCCGACGATTTTAAGCTTTCGACTTAGCCCTTTATTGACGCCATTTCGTCGTCCGCCGGAGTCCCGCCGGCTGCGCAGCCTGTGTCGGCCTTCAGGCGGCCCTGGACAACGACATCAACTTCGACATCCACATGCGCGGCCGTGTTGCAGCGCCGGGCTTTGTCATGGCGACGCAAATCGCCGTCCAGGCATTTGCAGGCGGCGGCGGCGGCTGAGGCAAAGCTTTTCCACCCATCAAGTCTGCCCCGGTGGCTAAGCAGCCGCCGGCCCGCGATGGTCACGGGATGTCGTCTGCTGTATCCACCAGCTCCCATCAGCCGGACCCACCTGCCACTGGCAATGGGCTTGGAAGGGCCGCCGGTGGTCATGTGGAGCACCGTCGATGGGTTTCCAGTCCGCTGAGGCGGCTTCTATCCGACGGCGCGGGCTTTCCGTGAGGCTCGCGGGGGCCTTGCCGGCGAAGGCTTCGACCTTCCCGCCGCCAGCGCCGAGCAGATAGTGGCTGCCCACGACCATCATTGAGCTGCTGGGTCGCTGATCGTCGCCGTGGAAAGGTGCATCCAGTCGCCTGGCGGGCGCAATTGAAGACGGGGGACCGGGCGCTGAGCGCTGTTCTTGCCATGTGTGTGTATCTGTAGCCCCACTAATCCCTGTGTTGCAGGTGCCCGTTCTGAGGGAGCTCAGGGGGGTTTGGGATGGGGTGTTTGGGGTCCGGGACTTGTGTCGGGTCTTGGGGTTTGGGACTTAGGCTTAGGGCTTAGGGGGTTTTGGGGATAAGGGTTTTCGTACTTTAGGATCCCTCCCACTTCCTCATTTTATTTGCAGGGCCTACCAATTTCTGAATCTGAACAGCTCTTTTAGGCAAACGTCATTCATGTAGCCTTGAATACAGCCTCTAGCAGCCCTATAGTACTACTAGGGATATTAATGATGTAGTGGTGCCAGCCGTGATTGTATACTGAGCTTGGGCTAAATCACAGCAAGAATGGCAATACTACAGTAGTCATGATAGTAATCGTCATGGTCATAGTAATTAATAATCAGGCAAAATGGCCTGTAAGCTTGGATAGTTGGATTTTGCAACTTGGGATTTTAGGAGCTATATTATGCAGGGCGGCTGTTCAAAATAGCTGGGGCTTTTAATTAGGTTCAGGGAATGGGCTTGGGAGCTTAGGGCAATGCGGGGTGGCTGTTCAGCCCTGCTAGGGCCTTTATTTCGGTTCGAGGTCTAGGATTGTGGAGCTTAGGACTTTAATAAGCTATAGTGAGGCTGTAGCGCTGCTGGGGGTCTAGGATTTATAGGTTTGGGGGGTGGGCGATTGTGGCACTTCGTCCGCTGTGCCCTTCATAGTGCTCGAGCTCTTCGTTTTAGAAGTTTCTGTTGTTTCTAAAGGGTTTCAGAAATTTTTATCCATCATCGTGAATCTACCTGGTTAAGAATATGATGCAGTCAACAGAAGTCAGGGCTAAGCCGGAAAATCCTAGCCAATCGCTTGAGCCTGCCTTATCCAAAGGGTATCCCTATCGAAGCCCCCAAAACCAAAACATAAAAACCCTAGCCCTAGTGCTTAATAAGCGCTTAAACCGGACCTCACAGTGCAGCCGTAGGAGTCACTGGGAGTGCAGGTAGGTCTGTTGCACAAGGCTTCCCCTTGTCCCGTAGCTCCCGAACCCCCCGCATGCCCAGGTTTGGACCAGGGTTTTTTCGGGTTTTGGAAGGCGGGTTGGGGCTCCGAGGCAGTGTCGGTCTGAAGTGCAGGTGCAGGGGTTTGCTGCTGAGGGTTTTGGGGTAGGCTGCCTCTGCATCCGGGACCCCCCGGCCCCCTCCTGATTCCCAGGCGCCAACGTGGCGGCCGCCACAAACCCGGACCCCCCTGGCCTGCGTTCGCGGGAAAGGCAAGCTCTGTCTTTCGTTCCAGCTGCCCAAGCTCGCCACACTTGATGTCACGCTCCCCTCGGCTAAGGGGCACTTGAAGTTTCAATGTCCACTGTTACCCGCTGTATTCCAGACACCGTGACACCACTTCGGAGCAAGCTATGATCAGGACATCGACAACGTATAACGTTAGGAAGCCCATTAAGGCTCCAGAGTCAGTGCCAATGGGTCTCCAGAGCCCCTCGCAGATGTGAAGTGGTTCCAGCCGCACCGCCGGCGTTGCGTCGGCCGCTCGAGGTTTGCTAATGCTCCCATTCAAGGTGGTGCTTCACCTCGCCGCAAGACGGTGTTGAGGAATGGTGTTGAGATATCCGCTGCACTTGCTATCCAAGTAGGTTCCTGAGCAAGCTTGTGACACATCGTACGAACAATCCAAGATAGCACATTCTATGTAGCAAGTTCGTTTTTTCCAGACTCGTTGTTCTGATAGTTTCCGCAAGCGACAACTCGTGCTTTTTCAAGATATGCCTTCTGATCCGTGGCTCTCTCTCAGCATTGGATTGACGCTCAAACTACGCCTGCAACAGAGCTCCTCAAACTTGAGTCGATGGGCGTATGCGGCCTCCCCTTAGTGGATGTTTTTGCGCAGCAAGGTGCGTCCCTGTGCGGTGATTCCTCGGCGTCAGAAGACTTTGATGATGTCTTTGCGTTTGTGATGGATACCGATCCTCGGGAAGAGCACATCGTACATAGGCTGGACCTCTGTTTATTGCGTTTCGTTGGTCTCAGTGCACAGGTTTTGGCTGCCGGTCACAATCACTCAGCCGTACGGCTGGAGCAGCAGTCACTTCTGCTTCCGGACATTCGGCCCGCTCGTCGGCGTATCCATGGTAGACAGTCACGTCCCCCAGCTTACGAACATGCGCTTTCTCTCCATGATCCGCCCCCGGCACCAGTGGCTCCGCGCATGCGTGCTCGTTTTTGGCTGAGTGGGGAGTACATCAATGGGGATGGTGCGAGGTTTGAGTGTCCTATAGCTGGTACACCACGAAAAGCGGTTTAGGGTGCAGGGCATCATTTCGTTCTGTCGGGAAGCTGGGTGGGATTGCCCGCGCTGCTGCCGCTCCTTTGAAAGGGAAAGGGCGATGACAAATCATCTTCAACTCCATAGTGCTGACGCCTCTCCGTAAATTTGTCCGGAGTGCGGTGCACATTTCCCAGGCCGTGACTCGGTACGTATGCGTATGAGTAGTGCACATCCCTTGAATGAACCATGACATGCTGCCTATCACGTGTGCCTACTGCCTTCGGGAACATGGCGTTGAGCAGGTCTTTACAAATTTACAACTGTGTTACACAGTTTTCGCAGGCATCTGTTGAGCGAGCACATTCAGTGATTTGTCTCTGTCTGCCGTAAAGTCTTGGATCGAGTTTTTGCTAGCTGTCCTTGCTTTGTCTCGCTTGCGTAGCAGTCGCATGGCATGGGCGGCGCACGTACTCGCGAGCGTGATCGTGGTGGTGGTCGTGAGTGTGAGCGTGAGCGCGGTCGTCGAGGTGGTGAGCGATGTGACGACAGTGAGCCTGCAGGCCGACGGGGTGACCGCCGTGACGATGATGACAACGCAACAGTTGCCGATCGCCTTGACCGGCTGGAGTCCAGATTCGAGTCCACTGATGCCCTTGCCTCTGCCACCGCCTACCATGCCGGCAAGGAAAGCTCGCAGAGCTCTCTTGTGTACTAGGCCGGATCGATCTTTGACCTTTCACAGGCTGAGTTCGGCAGCTAGCCTTTCCGACAAGATCGGTAGATGCGACAGGTCCACAGCAGAGGAGATTAAATGCGACAAAATCGAGTTTAAGTTCGAGGAGTTCTACAGGTAGCTTCAAGACTTCGTCGTGAGTTGAGTGTCTTCGTCCGTCCTCCGCCCAGCTCGCCAACCAAGAGGTGTCGTGCGCCAAGGTGGAAAATAGCGCGCGGCACAACCCACGACTCCCACCCGACTGAGCCACGCCCGTTCGTATTGAATTTGTTTCGCACCGCTTAGCCAGGCTTTCGGTGTGACGTTCGATGCACTCAGAGACTGTCGGACAGCGGACAGGTGAAAAAGTCCGTGGTGCGAGCGAACAAGTTCGCTGAGTGTTGCACGTTCACAAGCTTGTCAGATTTCGTTTTTGGTTTCAGTTTTTTTTTCCTCTCTCTCTCTCACTCTCTCTCTCTCTCTCTCTTATACTCGCGGTGTTTGGCTTTCTTGTGTGCTGGATGTTTCGCCCAGTGCCCCCTCTTTGTGTGGGATGGGGACATTTGGGGACAATGAGCTCCTATGCTTGCGGCTCCTTCTCGGAAGACGCCCATGGGGTTTGATGTGCCGCGCTTGTGTCAGATGTTTCATCATGCTTTATCGCACGATCCCTTGTGTCGCGTGTGAATGTTTTGTTTTGGAAGTCTTCGCATACGTCTGCGATGGGTTGGATGTCCGTATGTTGTAAAAGAAAGGAAGCTACAATCTCATGTCATGCCTTGTCATGTGTTGGATCTTACCTCACTGAGGGTAGCGCCTCTCCGGTGGTCGCAGATGTTGACTCCGCTAAACCCAGTAGATTTCATAAACATTTGTTTCTGAGAAAAGAATGGCAAAACACAGCACGCAAAACAAGTCGAGGTGTAGATAAGGAGGTTCCTGGCGTTATCCCGCTTGTCCGGCGATCCCAATGCCTGTTGTTGTTGATGGGCTACACATCCGAACACTGCCGGTTGGCTTCACGAAAAGATCTGTTACTGCCCGCACTTTGTGCAGGCGCTGGTGGTACAGGCCAAGGAGTCGCACGCGGGGCTTTGTTGCCATTGTTCGGTTCATGTTCATCCAACCATTGGAGGACGGTCTCAGCGAAGAGGACCAGAAGAATACAGGCAACGCCGTAAGCGTTGCTCGGAAGTGCAAGGCCTGCTTGTGCATGGACCTTTGCAGCTTGAGCTCACTTGGTTGTGTTCTGACCAGGTAGAGAAATTGCTAGAGCTGACACCTTCGAAGGCAAACCCGGGAATGCAGACCTTCGATATGGCCCTATCAGTCTCAGATGTTTCAGCTTCCTGTGCGCTGTCCAGGAAGTGGCCGGCTTGTTCCAGCTGGGCAAGCATGCAGCTGGAAAGCCCTTGAAGGTTGTTTTTGATTGCTGCCGCAAAGTGTGCGCCTTTCGTGAGCTGCAGGGTGATGCACTTGGCAACCCAGTAGCATCCGTGAAGCGTGCATGCCCAAGTCAAGAGTGTGTGCACGAGAAAGCTGGTGAATCACATGCTTTCTGTTGTTGTGCTAGCTCGATGCAGGTGATAGCCTTGCTTTGGTTCTGCATACCTCGGGAACTACGAAAAAGCCGAAAATCGTGCCGCTGACGTGAGGAACCTAGGTTGAGAAGCAGCGTAGACTACTCCATGGTGCAGAGCAGCATGGTGATCCAGGCACGCGAACATTGCCAGTGGTGCAATGTGCATAGCCTCGACAGCCAGGGACTTACTATAAAATGTGGAGACTTGAATCTGTTGCTGCCTTGCACATGGGTGGTGTTCGCTGCTTTCAGGTTGAGCTCAAGCATGCCTGGAGCATAGTCGACAGAGTTCTGGTCATCCATCCGGATTCTGACAAGCTCCGCTGTTAGTAGCTGCAGGAGCATATCTGCCTGAACACAATGCCGCTGCAGCCTCAAAGGGCAGATTTGCTGGTACCTACATTATATGTTTTGCATCACCGAATCGGCTGCTTCAGTGTCAGGCTTTTCCACATTCACGGATTAATTGTTAACGCTGGATCCTGAGACTTTCGGATGCTTACCGTGTAGATGCGAGCGGTCCAAATCTGCGAGGTCTTGGCTTCGGCGATCGCAGGATCTCAGGTTCGCCCCCAACATCCTTGAGGCATACTGTTAATGGCCCAGCGTGTGTCCGAGGTGGTCTGCCTGCCTGGTGTCTTCCAGGCCCGTGCAGCCCCATGACATCTAGAGGAGGTCAGAGCCAGCCTGCAGGTACAAAACTTTCATGCAGCCCTGATCTCTCAACCGGAGCCGAATTGGTATTCTGCTGTTTCTTCGCAGCAGTCGGCTTTGAGGGTCCTTGGGTTTTGTCTGCGTCACTGCTGCCTCAAAGGTTCCCACCATGCATCTGCAGATTCTTCAGTTTGCAGAGGAAGTCGCGAAAGAGAAGGCACGTTCTGAAGTCCGTGCAACTTCTGCATGCTCAAAATGTCTTGACAGGGTAAGGCACCGGAGAACAAGCTCCAGCTCATCCGAAACTGTGGCAGCCTCGCCTCGATAGAGTGGCTCGAGGAGCACACCATGACATGCTGGAATGCGAGGTTCTGCCGCCTTGGTCCCGACTGTAGCCGCTGCGATGGAGGAAGTGTTGAAGGCCAAGGAACAATCGTCCACATGCAAGCAGGGCCAGGGGTCACATGCCCGGTCACCGACAGGTTCATGTGATGCCCACGTATGCCATGACAGAGCTGCTCCCTGAGACGAAACACTTGTCGCTTTGTAGGACTGTGACATCATCTCATATTAAACCGAACTTGACAGGTCCATGCCCATTGCCTCCAACCCCCGATGTGGGAAGCGCAAACTTCGCTCGGTCGGGATGAAGGCGCTCACCAATCAGCTTGTCCAACCCTGTCAAACGCCCCATCCTGTGACAAGGCCGGACCCAACATGGGCATCATGAATGGGCACCCTGCCCGGAGCCTCAGTAGTCATTTTGCATCAATCGGTCATAGGCTTAATAGGTGCTTCGTGCACATGACAGGACGCCACGTTCCTCAACGTCGGTGAAGAGGGAGAGGCGGCGATAAGTTTATTTTCGAGTTGGCGCAGCAAAAATGCAATTTTATGTTATCAAGTCTGCAGGTCGTTGTGAAAGGTGGTCCTGTCACAAGCGGCCAGCTGCCGATCATGTTGCGCCGGGCACTGCAGCTGATTGCTGTTACTTCTCTCAGGATATGAGTTCAGGGAGCATATGGATGCGAATCCCAACATTGAAGCCTTCAGTGAAGGATGGCTAAGGAGCTACAGCTTGCAGCTCTTAGAGTGATTGCTATGCTTTCGTGCTTCATGCAAGAACCGTTTGGACGGAGGACAGGCGACAAAGGTTGGCTTGATGCTGACGGTTACCTGTATTTGAGTGGACGCTTCAAGGAGTCTTGCCATGTTCTTTCCTGATCAAATCAGAACGGAGAAGGAACTGGGTACTTGGCAACCCGAGAGTGCTAGGAGATCATCAACAGAGCTGGGGAGAAGATTTCGCCTTTCGAGGTGCGAGCCTCGAATCATGTGGTGGCAGATGTGAGTGTTTTCACCGCCGCATCCGGGCTTGCTCGGTGCTTGCAAATGCAAGGTGGAAGATGCAATGCGTGCCAACGATGCGCCGGGCACCAGAGTTGTTCAGTCGCACAAACAAGCAATCTTGACTTTTGGGCAAGAGACTGATTTGTTTCTGCACCGCTATCACGAGTGTTTTGTTGCAGGAACGGTGCCGGCGATAACAGTAGTGTTGGCTTGGGCCGTGGCTGCGGTGATGGGGATTGGAATCACTACCATGTCCACTTTCCAATTTATCTCGGAGCCCGAGGGCTGCTCCGCCTGCTTATGAGCCGACAAGTGCAGCACCATGCGACCACTTTTCCGCTTAACACAATCTGCTGAGAAATCGAAACTGCCACAATCAAGTGCCCGTTTCGCTGAACGCGCTCTGCTCCAGGTTTAAAGACTGCATCGCCTTCGCTGTCCCGCACAAGTCCTTGGGGGAAGTTGTAGGCGCTTCCGTCTTTCAGCAAGTTGTGCGCAATCGTCCGCTAAGTCCATCGGTTCCTGGCCGGAGGCATCGCTGCGGTTTTGAAGGATGGGAAGTCGCCACGGGCTTTGTAGTGTTCTCTGCCAGTCGACTTGCAGCTTTCTTGGCTTTTAGGCAAGGCCTGTTGACCTGAGAAAAGAGGTTGACCATCAAAGAGCTTAGAAGCTGGTGCAACAAAAGCCTGGTCCTCAGTGCAGGTCGTCCAACATCGTGACAACTCACAGTGTCACGAGACCAATGTGCGCTAGGTGATAAGCTACAAGCGAAATGGATTCCAGAAATGCTGGCTCCGACCTTCAAAAGCTCGCGAACCTTTTATGCCAGTAGCTAGCAGCTACTAGTTATCATCTCGAGGTGACGATGCCGACCATTCCTAAAGGTCCGACAGGGAAGCCTGCGAGGCGGCAGCCCTGTGCTGTGCTTCGATTGTGGTGTATCCGCCTGCAAGCCAGGATAAACTTGGCCAAGAAGTTGGACTTAGATCCCCTTGAAGGTGTGCCGAAGGAGCTGCACGTGAAACTGCTTTCCTGCCTGATGGGCTTTGAGCTATTGTTCTGCGCCTGCTTTGCAAGTCGATAAGCGGCCAACCAGCCCGCATTCCCAGACAACGTGACAGAGCTTCCGCTGCTCTTGAAAGGACTTGGATCATCCAGGAATTTCCGGATAGTCTGAGACACTCTCCGACCTTTACCGGGCGAAATGCTTGGTGTTGGGAGACATATTTGTTTGGCTAGACCTGTGTACCGAGCATCTGCCGTGCCTGGTCGTTCCGTTCGGAAAATTGATGCAGGACCTGTGATATCCTTTGATCCAGTAGCTGCCTCTCATCAATTTAAGCAGATACTGGGTCGAAGTGGTTTATTGGCCCGCAGGCCCGGAAGATAACCCAATCGCGCTGTGCCTTGCAGAACCCGCAAGATTCACATATTTGGTACGTAACTATCTATTGTTCTATAAGCTGTGCCCGGAACACGAAACGCGAAGGCACGCTCGCATGAGTGTATACATCTTAAGCCGTCTTTGAGATCGAAAATCATCCAAATGCGAAGGTACACTTGCAATCAGATATAATGAGTGGTGTGCAAATGTGTGTGGTTGTATGTGTGGCTGCCAATATGTCAAGGTTGGCTTACCTCCCCAACGCCTCCGAACCGAACAAGGGCTTAGTAGCTGATTATGAAGAAGCTCAATATATGCCGTAGGCCAAATACCCTATATCAAAGATGGATTAAAGGTTGTTCTACGGGTTTTGTGTTGGTGAAGGACGCTCATGCGGCTGCGATCTTGCCTCCATGAGTAGTCGGTCAAACAGTGTTGGGCTGTGTCCTAGAACAGGGGGGTGAGCTTACGCACAGCTTGCGCGAAGCTTGCGCGCGGCTTGCGCGCATCTCCCCATCAACCACACAGTTTTGGACGCATCATGACAGAGTTTTCCCGGTAACTGGTGTTCCCAAATGAACTGGTGTTCCTGAATTTTGGTTGGCTATGCCTGCTATGGTTGGAGCCTCGCAGTACCCCAAACAATGCCGTAACAGGTCGGCTCCGACACCCGAAACAACGCCGTAGAAGATCGCACTGTGTGTGGATACCATAACATCAGTCGATTCTGCCTGTGCCTTGCGGGAAGCCTCTACAAACCATATATGTTTTGAGAGTTTCGAGCTATTCCCGCGTGGTACTCTGCAAGTAGTGGTGAGTTATATGGACGCATTGAGTCGAGACGTCAATTCTTGCTGTGCCTTGCGGGAAGCTTCTACAAACCATACATTTTCTCGATAGTTTCAAGCTTCTCCGGCGTGGCAATCTCCAAGTAGTGGTAAGTTTCTTGGTGAATGCGGCATCTTTGTGAGCCTCGTCTGCCATGGGGTTTGGGGTTGTGGGCCATCTACTTGACATGTTGGGCTACCCGATGTGCCATGGGGTTGGGCTATCTAAAGGGTGATTGGGCTATGAAACCACGCGCGCTCGTAGCAGGTTTTGGCTGTCGTTTTTACCCAGCTGATCATTCTCGCAAGCGCGACATGTGGGCTCCGAGTTCAACAGGGCAGCACCTGATTAGCCTCGTCTGTGACATCCTGCAATGCATAGTGGCAGCTGCGATGGAGTACTGGCACAACTCTCTGCCTAACTGTGCCGCGGAAGTCCCTGTGTCAAGGCAGAAATCCGCATACCCTGCCATGGCATGAAGCACATACAGCAGCAGCTGCAGGCTTATCTGCGACCGACAACAGTTCTGCACTATTTGGAAGCCTTTTGAGGAAGTCCAGGCTTCCATGGGTGCCGCCAAAGTTCGCTCTGAAGGGGAGGTTCCAAGGGAGACTTTGTTGACCATGTGGCTGAGCGGCCATGCACAGCTTGGCATGCTCCCTCGTCTTTTCGTCTCGAGTCGGCTATTGCAGGTAGCAGCTTGGCAGGCCATCTTTGCAGATGCCCGGGAGGCAGAAGAATGAACAACCCTGTGACTTGATGCTTGGTTATTAGGATTATGTTACATGCTGCATCGATGGCCTGAATGTAAAATCCGACGGAGCCCGGAAGCCCGGATAGTGGAAAGTTTGGCTTCTACCCAACCCCCTTGTGCTTTACAGCATGGCTTTTGGACAAGGCGAGCGAAAGAGTGGCAAAGAAACATGCTGGTCAGAAGGCACTCAAAGCCCCACAAACTCGACTTTTCAACATAGGCCTGCCTGGCCCGTCCAGGTCCAAAAGCAGGAGCTGGAGCTTGAAGCTAAGCACCTCCAAGAACTGCTGGAGGCCTGCGCGGGCAATTCCGTCGGTTCTTGCCAGTTTTTCCGCATAAGGCAGGTCCTTTCTCCCCCCACATCCCAGGATGTCAGTGAAGAGATCAAGAAACTCCATACCGTGCAGCCTGGCGCCTGGCTTCTTCACAAGGCTGCTCAAGCATTGACCCCACACAGCCATGGCAATTTGGCAAAAATATGTTTGGCAGTCTAGTCTAGTCTGTCTGGCGGTGACGATCTCTCTTGACTTGACATGTGGCATCGTGACGTGACGTTGGCATGTTTCACCAGAAGGGAGACCAAGAACTCCGGTTTCAAGCAAGGGAGAGAACAGCAACCGGAGGCAGAGGAACTCACGAGTGGTATGTGGCTGCAGGGTTGGGGTCCTTCCTGCAGTGGGCGGCGAAAGCTTTGACTGAGCAAGCCCCGAGGCCCACAACGCACAGCGACAAAAAGCACACCGCCCGTGTGTTATCTTTGCTGTTTGTTCGGGTCCTCCCTCAGCAGCAGGCGGCGGAAGTCAGTGAGTGAAAGAGTCCTGGTGTCCGCGGATGCTCGGTAAAACAACCCTGGCCGCCCGATGCCGCCCGTGTTTTTTTTTGCTGTGCATTCGGGTCCTACTTAAGCCCGGCACGGGGTGTGCGCGTAAGTGAGTACCTGGGCCCGCCAACGACGCAGCAAAAGACAATGTTCCGTCCGTGCTGCTTGTTGTGCGTTTGGCCCCGGCAGGGTGCTTTTTGGCAGCAAACGCTCCGGTCTGAGAGGGGGTTTTTGTGGCTCGGCATTCGGTTGCAAAACGAAAATGTGAACAGGTGTCTCTCAAAGTACTGGCGAACCGTGGGGAGCCTTAAGGAATACTAGCACCAAGGAAATAATCGGGACCACCACTGAAAAATTACACTGTCCTGCTTCATTTATCTCCTTCTCATATAGTCCTTCGTGATCTTGCAAGTGCGCGGGGTTGCATCCCCAACCCTTCTGCTTTCTCAAACCCTCCAAGCGAACACTTTCATGTGATTACATCAGGGGGCTCCCTAAACCCCCCCTGCTACCATGTTGCTCGCAGCATTGCTATGCCTGGAAAACTCTATCGACATGCAACAGAACCCGTGTTCATGCACTCGTGCAGCTCTTGGGGCGTAGAGGCCTCACGATCGTGCACTGAAAAGAAACGCGGCGTGTATGGAACTCGGTATTAGTGGGTCCACAAGCAGGGATGCCGCCAAGGCAAGTTCAGTTTGGAAGCGTGCGCGGCGCAGTGCATGCATCATGGCACATCCACGAAAGAAGCAGAGGTACCCCAACGTGCAGAGGCACAGGATCCAGCAGTGCAGCCCGACGCTACGACATGTGTGCGCAGGGATTGATGAACTTGCCCGATGATTGCCCAACGCCTAGCGAGACAAAGGAGGACAACCAGTTCGGAAATTGCAAGACATCTCTAAATCATGAATGGCGTGAGCGCGAGAGCTGCCGTCCTCGGAGAGAAGCAGATGCTGAGCAACCAACACGCTCTCTGGATCTGGTGCCACATATGGGATTACGGCCGCCTCTTGCTCATCTAGCGGAAAGAAGCCCTTGTCATTGCCGACGATAGCCAGTCGGAAGGGCGGAAGGATGCGGTCTTCGCGAAGTGCTTCCTTGGGCTCGGAGCCGGCCTTGACCCTTGGTCCACATCGCTGCCATCCCAGTACAAACCGGGCCGGTGCCGGTTGTATGATACGTGTTGATAGCAGTACAGCAAAGCCAGGTCCTGATGGAATTGCTTTGAATCTGTGCTACCAGGAGCGGACTGGAGGGGGAACGGTTGCAAGCAACTGAGCGCAGACGTCTCAGATGTACTCCACGGGAGACATGCCACAAGCTTGGACCACTGAAGGTGTAAGGGGCGAGCTGGCCAGGATCGAGGACATCTACCAAAGAAGTCTGCAAAGTTCTGACAAAAAGCATGCGCCGGCAGGCTCACGGACGGCATGGGCAGCTTGAAGCAGAGCTGGCGCCCATCCGAGAACTCTGTTGGACAAGCCGTATGAGCAGCACCGCCGAGCACAGGTAAGTGCCAGGTGGCGTGTCGAGGAGCTGCGATCGGATCCCAGGGCACAACAGCAATCAGTCAAGCCTGTTCGATGGAAGACTGGCGTTCCCGTGCCTTGTCTTAGGGATGGAATGCGCTTCTGAACGACGGAGGTGTTGCAAATTGGTGGTCTGGGGCCTAGCTGTGGTAGGGCCTGGTCGGGCGGGCAAAGCAGGAAAGGCTCTATTGACTTGCGTGAACAGGCTGAACTGCCACCGGCCGAGCTACGAACAAGCGGTCGCTACTGACCGTGCGCTTGCAGAAACAAAATGCGCGGTGGTATGCAGCGTTGGTCTCTGTGTCACTGCTAGTCAGTCCTGCTACTCACAATGAGTTCCACATCAGTTACAGTGAGAGACAAGAAGAGATGATTCCATCTCGAATCTATCACAGCAGGAGATCGGGTTGACAATTGTACAGGAGTCACATGATACAAGGGTGGAATTTCTGACGAAGTGGTGCTGGCGTTCTATCAGATTTGCTCACAGGCCAGTTCGTTTGCCATCTTTGCTACTCTACGATCCTGTATGCATCGGGCAACTGTGTAGCATCTGGCTGAGAAGCATGTGAATCATGCGACAAATCGCAGGATACTTGCATGTGCCGGGCTAAGGAAGCGGTTGTAACATGTTGCAACCCTTGCGCGACACACGGCATGAAGCATGCATTGTCGCATCTCCATTGCAGTGGCATGTACTTTTCGAGACGATGATTAATGAAACGTGGTTTGTGAGAGTACCGAGTATCATGACACTGCGATGACGGAAAGGCGAGCATATCGTTGTGATGCACACCTGATTTGAGGGTGCAGTTGGAGGGTGGCGACCAGATTTGCCATGATTTGCCAGTCGCATGCACTCTAGTGGCTTGAGGCATTGGCAGCATCATCGGGTCGCTGTTAATCTCTTTCGGCGGCTCGGAGTGGGTTAGGCCGCTGGGTTAGGCCGCTCATGCTTTCCGTACTGTATGATGTATCGGTTTGCGACGAATTGGTGTTGGTGGCTTATGCCCGCGACGGTCGGTAAGCGATGAATGCGACACGCTTGGACGTTGCTTTCAGAAGCTCTCTATTCCGGAAGAAGCACTATGAGCATGTGTTCATCACCAGGCTCGTCTCTCTGCCCTGCGCAGCCTATAGTGCATCCCGCGGTGGCGTTGGCTGAGTCATGTGGTGCATGGGTCTGGGGGTGCCGGTGCATCCATGCCTGCCATTGTATCCGTCCGTCTGCCCATCCATCCGTCGGTCCGCCTCGGTCTGTCCTCTTTATCCGCTGGAGCACGTGAGACAGAAGCTGCTGTTATTCGAAGTCTTTCGATGAAAGCTTCCGATTCTTGCGGGCTTTGGGTTCCAAGATGTTCCAAGTCAGGTGCTCAGCATCGTGAGCTGCAGCTTCAACGGTGCTGCTCATTCCACGCTTTCTGCACCGGGCTCAGGAAAGGTTCGGCACCAACACTCTATTGATTGGTTGATTCGGTATTCTGCTGCGATGCCTGTCACAAAGCGGTTTTTGCAGCTACACACAGAACCATTCCAACGAAATTTCCGAGAACTGAACAGAATTGAAACTTGTAACCTCGACCCTACACTCTACAAGGGCACTTGATTCCTTGCACCCTGAGCGCCTGAACCCGAATATCCAACAGAAGGCAAGTTATGGCACCCTGTCTTGCCTCCGAATAGGAGTGGGAGTATTATGACGGCTGCCAAGCAGGTCACCGGGGAGCAGCAGGTCCGAAGCTTTGTGGCGCAGGGCCCCTACTTCGCTTGCAAACGCGAGTCTGTGCGCGTGTGTTAACATGACCAGGATTCCAGCCGGATGGAACGTGTTTCTCCCCAACTTCGGGCTGCCAAAGCTCTCGCACAGGGCGCCCTTGGACAGGTGCCTGCTTTGCTGCGCTTCTCGCTGAAGGTTTCAATATGCCAATATGCTTGAGTTCTCACTAGTTCCAAACTGCTCTTATTCAGGGAGGCATCCAATGTGCAGCCTTCCTTCTACGGACGTGCTGCAGCCTTAAGACGCGAGCATCTTGCGGGAGGATTGAATCCGGAGTCATTCAGTATCCACCGTCGCCAGTGTATTACCACGCATAGCGAGGCCTTTGCAGCACCATGGTTATGCTATGGTTGCCTGGCATTGCCAAATAAATAGTAGTACTATCAGCATGGAACATACGCGAGGTAGGAGGCAAGTTTGAACCTCCGAACACTCATTGCGCGAAGCTTAGCAGATCAAGCGAGGTCGTGATGGAGCCTGGTTCCACAAACGAGACGAGGTCCATCCCAGAGGTTAGTTAGGCCACAAAGCGCCTCTGTCGTGCATGCGTAATGGACATGTTCTGCAGCAGGAGCCTTGCTTGTGGTGAGTTGGCAGCAACTCCGCAGGTCGTTGGAGGGATACATGTGCAGCTTGGCTTTGTGACATGCTTTGGCTAGGTTGAGACTTTGGCTCTCTTGGTTGAGCGGGGCCTGTGCACCTTTCGGCAAAAGGCCCGAACATGACTCTCTCAGACAATGGTGTGACAGCATGCAGCTGTTGTGGAGGCTACAAACGCATTCAGCGCGGGCTACAAAGCACTTCTTGTTTCCAACACCATCAGTGGCTTGGCCAAGGCTCCTCGTTTATGTTCGTCCGGACGCGTGTGACTGAGTCAGAACCGGGTACTTTCCAAAGATCAGATTCCTCCCCGACACGACTGCTTGAAACAGGCTCAACGCTCGGTGGACACTGCACACTGCAAACCATACTGCGCCAGCGGTGTGTGTCCAAACGCTTTTTTCCACAATCTTGCACGCTTATATGCATGCTTGTTGGCCTGCAAAGGGGGAGCCAACCAATGTGTGAACACGGCTGTGAAACTCCTGACTCGAAGGGTGGCCGACAAACCCACATAGGGCCGGGGCATGTGGCACAGACGTTAGTTATTCTCTGTTGTCTCGAAGCTTTCAATCGAGGGCGTGTCTTAAGCTTTTCGGAGCTGGAATTCGAGGTGGCCTAGGAGGTTAACTAGCCGAATCTGTCGAAGTGTACTGTTCGCAAACTTTGGCGTATTATCCGCACTACTTCGCTTCCTCATGCCGCTAATAGCTCGCAGGTTCCCGACATGACAGCCGGGAGTGCGGTGGATGACCGAGCTGTCGAAATCCCGGCCGGGATGCCTATTCAGAATAGCTGCATGAAGATGCACCAGGCAGTGTCTGCATGTGTCTACAGGAGCAGAATACGAGCCTTTTAGGGCGTCCATGATCGTGCCGAGGCATGGTCCATTGATCTTTCGGATGGACAGGCACTTCTGGTTTGTTGGAGCTTCTAGATTCTAGACGTAGATGCCGGATGGGCGAAAAGTGGCAGGCGCTGCGGAACTGGATCTTAGGAGATGCCAGGCTTGTGATTCAGGCAGCGACCATCCAATCGCACACAAGTTTGAGGGGTACACACCTGACCTGTACAAGCAGGTCAGCGACTCACCAAGACGGCCGAACATAGGCAAGGCAGCCTGGATGAAAGAATCCGCAATTGGAATCTTGCAGAGGTGCTGATAAGCAAGTGCTTTTTCGAGGTCCATTCCAAGAAGATGTGTTCGGTTTGCGGCAGGTCAGGGGGGCAAGTGGTATGCATCACTTCGTGCTGGGGCTGATGCTAATCGCCTCGCGTCGTCCGCCTCGGCCCCGTCACAGGTGCAGCAAGACGACAAATGTGGATGCGGGATGCGGGTGTCGGGGCGGGAGGGGTGCGGGAGCGGACCTGCCTGCCGGCCGTTTTTGGCGCAAATCAGGTCCCTGGCAGAGGAAAGGGGGAACCTCTGACTGCTTCGGCCGGGGCCGAGGCGAATGTAGCTACTGTACGATACTTCCTGGCCTTCGGAATGCATTTGTAGTGCACGGTCCTGGCATGAAACGATTGCGCGGCACTGATTGTGTACGTAAGACAAGCACAGCTGAGTAGATGAGCAGGTGTTCTCCAAATGAGGGCTTTGGAGCCGGACTGGGAGCTGTTTCGTGCCTCACAAAAAACACGTAGTGCAAGCTGGACAAAGTCCTCCGCCCATCCGCTGCTGCAGATGCTGTGAAGTGCCTGGCTTGGAAAGCATGCTCAGGGCAGGAACCTTGTTCCCTTGAATGAGGCAGGGAATGATCGAGGACTTCCACTAGATAACTCACTGCCGATTGGGATGGCATCCACTGTCGGATCGTCGGCTTTTGGCTCTTGCTTGGAGCATGTAGAATCGTAGAACTGTAGGACGCAATGCAGAGAAGCATGCTCGTATACACGGAGGGTTATTGCTGCGGCACCCAACTTTCCCCTAGTGCACAAACTGTGTACGACGTTCTCAGACTTGATTGGCAGACTTGGAAGACGCACTTTGGGAAAGCACTGGAGTCCTCGATTTATGTTCCATATCGGGTGCTGTCTTGCGTGACCTGAGCTTACCTAGCGTGGCTAAGACATGCCAAGACGAATTGCATGGCTTACTTAGCCTTTCCTGTACGCACATGAACGTGGCAGCACTTCTGATATTCTTGGGCAGCATCGCCAATTGATCCATGAGCTCATGGCGAAGTTGCCTCTGGTACAGGCGACTGCAAGTGAGTTTGACCGCGTTGCTGGCAGCCACGGTATGTGTCATTTTGCCGAATTGGAGGCGGATCTCGAAGTCAGGGACTGGTGGGAACCATCGCGCGTTCAAGAGGCATCCAACTTTGGAATCTGCAAAGCAGTTCAGGTTGGCCGGGCGGCCGATTTCTTCTTTTTGTTTCAATCCTGTGATATATGCTGCCGTGAGCTATGCCCGCTTGTCGCGGCAATGCTTCTTCGCGGCTTTCGAGCTACTGCGGCTGTTTGCTGATCCCCATCGACAGGTTGAATGTACGCCTGTGTGTTCTGTAGTTGACACAATTCGAAGGCACTCTCTCGCCAGCCGCGCTTTGTCCGCCAAAGTCTCAGTTGTGTGGCAGTCTACTTCGCATGAAAACGCATGTGACACATTCGTGGTGTAACAACGAACGCGTCATGGTCTACCACCAGCCATGGTCATCATTCTGGTAACAGGCCCTGTCCCGCCCTGTCAAGAGTCAAGAGCAAAGACTCTTCTCTAGATCGGCGAATCGGAGTCGTCGGTCTTTTTCTTGTTGCTACTTCGAGGTCCTGATGTCGCCAGTCTGAAGAGGACACCGCCGCCTGTGCTATGGACAGTGCGTTTGTCTTTAGCTGCAGGACAGTTCTCTGCACCGTCATCCCTAGTTTGTGAGCCTTGCTATGTCGTTGATAGACGAGAACAACCCAAGTGCAAGACTTACTCCAGCTGTTCTGAAGGTATTTTTTGGGCCATGTTTTGCCCACTTGCTCCGGTGACGAGGCCACCCCTCAGTGCACAAGCTTGTGCAGTAGAGGAATGAACTGGCACAACAGGCAGTGAGTGACGCGGGTGCATCCGCGGTGCGACCTGCCTCATTCTTGTCTGACCTGTGTAATAGCCTGTGCCTGCAGCATCTGCGTACACTGGTGATCTTACCGTGCCAGGTAGTCTGCACAATCTGGGCTGCATTATGTGCTTCTGCTGCAGTTATACGTTTGTCGAAGTGGTTCGAGACCCTACATCACCACATGCATTTCTTTCCGTTTCTACATTGCAAGGAGTACGCCTTCAGGATCAACGAGGTGTAGGCGATACCGAACAACAGTGCAGCTCCACTCGTTCTCCCGCATCTCGTACTAGTAGCACAGAAACCAGAGAGATAAACTGCTACGGGACAAATACAGAAGTTGTCGAGAGAACCAAGCAGACTTCCAGAACACCCGGTGATCATGATGCTTGGGTTGTTGTTGTGCAGTATGCGCGAGCATCGACAAATTCTTTGACTTAGCAAGTTTTTTCTCCGACCCTTGATCCCCAAAAGACCCCGAAAGGCCGCCCAAAACCCCCAGCTGATGTGATATTTGCAGGGTTTCGTTCCCTGCAAGAAGCAGAGGGGAAACGTCGGCACGCAAAAAGGAGGCCTAGACAACACCACCCGAGCCATGCGAGACTGAGCCCGAATGCCATGACGCCACAAGATCTGACCCTCCAAAATAGCGGAGACCAAGTCCAATGATTCCAGCGGCCTGGCAGCCCTTCAATGGGTCGGCGGCTTTGAGAAAAGAAAAAACTGTCCACTGCTTCTTACAGGAGTGCGGGGGTGGGTTGAGACTGGGCTGGGGAGAGAGAGGCAGGGGAAGAGCTGGGAGAGGAATGGGGGCAACGACAACACGAAGGGCCTCCGAAGGCCGACCACGTGGTAGGCGGGTTTTGCGTGCACGCCGTTGTGAGGGTATCTCCGGTAGGACACAGATGTGGTTTCTTTTGGATGGAGAAGCTGGTTGCGAAGGACATCAAAAAAAAAGGAGCAGTGAAGAACCGTGGCATTGGAGACAAGGCTGGAATGTATTTAACAACACAAGTGTTCCAACGACATACATCAGAAGCTTCAATGGCCCACTGCGAATCTCGGCATGACGCACCGACGTAAAGTGTTGTGTGGGGCTGCGGCTGCGGCGTGACCCGCCGTCCTCGATGGGATGCACGCGCACCGTAGGTCAAGACAGTTTTAGATAGTCTCAAAATTGTTCTGCCAAGCCATACTCGATGTGCAACGACATTTTAGCCATAGGTAGAGAGTACTGCTTCATGTCCGGGCCCGCGCGGCCATTTACGACCTGCGGAGCACTTATTTCCGAGTTTCTGTCGGCGGGCAACTCAGGTCTCTTCGCTCTAGGTGCGGCTGCCTGCAGGACTGCAAGAATCATTGTTCCGGAAAAATTCTTTCGCAATGCTCTGTGTTGAGGAACCCTGGAGTTGCCAGTGCCTCAACAGGGTTTCCTATCTGTTGGTGTTGGCAGGCTTGAGCGAACCGCCATTCTTGTTGTTCGTGATGGCTTGTGTGGATGGTTCGTGAAGACAGCTTCGCACATTGCATCCTGCCTTGGCAAGGAGGCAGGTGACAGCAGGTGACAAGCACCCAAATGAAGTGTTATTTGTACCCTTCAGCTGGTAACGTGTAGACTCTTTGGCATCCTGAGGTTCCGCGTGCCTCCGACCCAGCGCCTGCTTCTTGCCCAGCAAGGCGCGAAATTGAGGGATGTTGTCCTAAGATTTCTCCATTCTCTTTCCTGGAGGTTTCTGGTGGTAAATGGCGTGCAGGTGAAGCAGAGGTGGTGCAGCACTTGCAGGCGGCCTCGCTGACAACCTGGCCATAAGGAGCTCAAAATGTGCCAGGGTTTATAGACCTCTGCGCTCGAAGCATTGCTCTTATTGCGATCGATGCGCCGCATGGCTGCACCCAGACCTCCCTTGGACAGAGCTAGGAGACAGACAAGGAGTGAGCGAGCGAGAGAGAGCAGGCAAGTGGCAATGTTAATCTCTTCTTGAGAGCCTTTTGGCCCTAGCACTACTTCAATGGGACCAGCCGCGAGCTGTGAGGGGAGTGAACTGCCTAGGCCTTGGGCTTGAAGAGTAGCCGGGACCTTCCAGAACTGCACGACATGCCGTGGTTGCAACCCGTACACTTTCTGGGCCCGGAAACTCTGACGGCGGGACTTCTTTTTCCTAGTCAAGTCAGGCTATTCCTTGACAGTAGCAGCCACTGCCGAGCCGAGTGCCTCGAGGAACTCGGGGCATGGGTAGGGGCAGGGGGGTGCCTCCAAGCAGGAACGTGGATTGCATAGCTTCGATGCTCTCAATCAAGGCGTCTGACTGCTGTATGTTGCAGAACCAACTAGAAGCAAGACCCACAATCCGCAACTTGAACTGGCCGCGTGGTGACACGGTCTGAGGCTCAGACAGCTTGGCGATCGCATATTCGTCCTTGCTGCTTCAATCGTCAGAGAGAGCTGGACGGAGCACCGCAGTTGAGCATTGGAGGGTACTAAGCGGCTAAAAGGCAGGCCGCAATGCAGGCTAACTAACGTCGACGGTTCCTCGTACAACGCCAATGAGGGCCTCCTTTCATGACTCCAATGTCCCCTTCAAGATTTTGAGAGGAGGAAGGAGCGCCGCAGGGGTTGGTCTGGCCAACGCTGGACTCAGACCGTGCAGACGGAAGGAAGGAGTCAAGAGAGGAAGAGGAATACATGCACAGATTGCATCAATCACCCGAAGGGGCGAGCGAGTCCTGTTACGGCAAGAGTAGAGCACTCTACTTCTGACCGAAGCTGATGCCCTCCGCTGAGCGCTTGTATGCCGGGAGAGAGAATGAAAGAGCTTCAGCTGGAGCACACGCAATCAAGAGCCAGCCAAGGTCTTTCGCTTCGATCATCACTGTACGTGGTTAGGCACTTTGCTATCGGCGGTTTGCAGCTCAAGACTTCTCAAATATGTCTGTGCAGGAAATTGTGTTGGATTGGGAAACTACAGAACCTCGGCAGATGCTGATGCTTGCGCTTTTGCCCTTGCCCGGCGCAGCTCCTCCACGTGTGTAAGGATCTTTCCTGCTCCTCGTGGTTGTCCAGTGCCCAGAGCGTCCGTGTGACAACAAGGTTGATGCTTGGGAGACTGCATGGGCTAAGACTGCGACGCTGTTCTTCGGGCACTCCTCCGTGATCACATTCAAGGCAGTAGCCATCCGTGGGATGCCACTCACATGGTCTCATCTGGCATCTCCTTGATGTTATTCAAGGATGCAAGGGGCGGCTTGGAACTGCAGCATCAAACAGAGCATCGAGCGCTAGGAAGAAGCAACATCGCTTCGCTGGCTGAGCCAAAGCGTTATTCACAATTCTTTGTGGGATTCTGTTTACTAGGCATTCAAGCCTAATACAGCGGGTAGGCCAGAGCAGAGGCTGGTGGGAAGCGAGCGTCGGGTTGAAGCACCCTTCGTTAGTGTTGGTTTGCTGGACGCATAATGTAGGAAACTGATTAACAACCCCCCTGGATGAAGCAGGACCGTTTCGGGCTCCGGAGTCAGATTAAATTACCTTTTCATTCACCCCCCAGCAAAAACCCATTCGAGGGGATCGCCCCTTCAAAGACCCAAAAATCTATTGAGTGTTGATTTGCTTTAAGTTGCCCCTCAATAAGGCTCATCAGCCCCGATTAGACGGGCCCCCAGAGTCCGATACGAATCCCTTACAATTTAAAGTCAGCCCCCAAAAAAGCTTGAAGCTTAAAGGATCCCTACATTCCTTAAGATTTTATATGCCCTCCTTGCGTCGTAGCAACGCGATTTGCAGCCCTTGGAGGTTGCGCGGCAGTGTCTTCGTGAGGAGCCTTCGTTTGTATTTCTGCATTAGCATACCACTTGAGCTTGTTGAAGAGTTTGGAGGCGAGCGAAGTGAGCGCTTCGAGCTTATGTATTGTGCGCTTGCGCCAGCGTCATCATCCGAACGGAGCATTCTTGACAAGGTTATTCGGAGGCTGCTTGTTGCCAACGGAGGAAAGGTGCCTTGGCTCAAGTCCCTGTCTGCTGTGGGGCCTGGTGGAGAAGCCGTCGAACAGGGCGGGCTCCAGCGGAACCTTGGAGATAATGTCCGTCCTCATGTTTGGGCATGCGGTCAGTGTTCTGTCATGACATTGCTCAGTGGTTGGGTGGTTTTACAACATAGAATTTTGGAATTGGCTTCAGCAGAACATCTGAGCAGAGACATCAACCGATTTCACGAGAGTGTTGAACGTGAAATACTTGTCGTCACACAGATATTCGAATATCTTCAGCAGTCCGTGACTGCGCTGATTTTCTTGGATTTGCAGATTTCGCTCAGTTCTTATATGCGGCCTACGCCCTCGTGATGTGCTTGGCGTTCAGCATACTTCTGCTGTGCCCCGCCCATGTCAGCGTTTAAGGTTGTTTCGTTTGTAGCATCGGCCAGGTACCATCTCATCATCATGGCATGCAACTTGACCACGAATGAACATGCATCTTGAATGCAATGTTCTGTTGAAAGGGAGCGGTGAGTCTGACATCCGAACATGAAGCTGAAGGTTCGAGACTATTACATGGAGAGGCCACCCGTAAACACCATCAGGCCGTAACGGAAAGATGGCTGGCCTTGCGTGCAGGAACCCGTTCGACATCACCTGCATGGAAAACTACCGGCAAGTGCTTTGCTTCCCGTGCCCACACCACATTTTGCTACTGTTCTTTCATAGGTAGGTGTTCAAGCGGGATGTCGCCGTCGTTCCGTGCCTTTGACAGGTACGGGCGAAGCTATCGAGTCGATGCTGGGGCTGCTGTTGATTCCACTCGTGAAGTCGAATAAAATGCCCGGTTCTGTCATTGATCCCAACGTGCTGTTGGATGATTTTTACGGAACTTCAACCATGAAGCAGGGAAGACCTTGCTTGTGCCGGCAAGAGTGGTCAAGCAGGTGTCCTCCAGGCAAACTTTAGTACCCATTGATTGAAGTGCGTTTGGCATCTTTTTTGTCTTTACTTAAGCTTGCCCGTCAGGCCAGCAGCCTTTCACCCTTAGGATTGACGGACTCTGGCGTCGGCTTTCCGCGGGTTAATGCTGCTTCAGAGGGGCATGTGTGCTCACAGCGACAATGGAGTCAGCCCCTTTGCTTGCTTGTGCCACACCTTCAAAAGTGCGAGGCGCCCTCAAGAGGATAAGGTGCAGACTCCAAGTAAGGGCCCGTTGCGTGGATGTAGAGAACTGTTCAGCAAATTTCCAGCACAGAACCCTCATCGTGAGACCTAAGCTGAATATCCAGCCTCACCTGATGTGCAATCTGCTTGGTGCGTGCGCTCCAAGCAGCTCAGCATCGGGTTGCTAGCTGCGCGGAGGCTTGTGACATGGACACACCCGAATGGTGGGACCTTCCATATGCTGAATCGGCATCTCCAAAAACCCAGTTTGTTCGCCTACACGAAGCACCACGAACACCACCAGGCGACGTTCATGGCACGGTCATTGTGCTGCATGGGGGCTATTGGAAAAACAAGTTCGGATTGGACGATGAATATGGCAATGCTGGCACGAAGTCATTGGGATCATTCTTCTGGGCACGGAGTTTTTCAGTTGTGGAAGTCGAGTACAGGAGACGAGACCATGAAGGTGGAGGATGGCCTGGAACGAACGAGGATGTGTTGCTGGCTATAGACTTCCTGTGTCGCTTGAGCACAGAGGCTCAGGCTCAAAGATCTTCCGACTCCGACAAGAAAGCAGCGGCGCTGCGATCTTTGCGCTCTGAAAGGTTGATTCTTCTTGGACACTCTGCTGGTGGTTGCTTGGCGCTGTGGGCAGCACATCAGCTGGCAGCACGTGGGCTTCAGCCCATCGTGGTTGCCGCTGCGCCCGTAGCAGATTTAATACGTGGATACGAGCTCAAAGTTTCAGATGAAGGAGATGCCGTGGAACGCTACATGAAGCAAGCTCCGACAGCATCTGGTCTAGAAGAATATCGGAAAGCATCGCCTGCTGCGCTTCTTCCCGTGACTTTTCCACTGTGCGTCGTGTATGGGGACAGCGATACTGACGTGCCGCCGGACTTAGTGAGAGCATATGCCAAAGATGCTAAGGCTTCAGCGCCGGCATTAGTTTCAGTATTAGAGATTCCCGGTGCAGATCATTTTCAGATCGTGGATGCCAGAACTGATGTCTGGTTGGCGCACATTGTTCCAGTGTTAAGAGAGATGATCGGACAGCGTTTTGATCAGGCTGCCGCCTCAGCTTTGGAGTGACACCGGAGCAGGTAGCCAGGCTCGATTACACGACATAGTCGCATGAAGCCGAGCTTTGCACGGAGATCGACGTCAGGACAGTCTAGCAGTCCAGCAGAGTATCACCGGCCGAAGCTACTCGAGCACCGGCAAGACCCTCATAACAAGTCAAATGTGAGCATGAGTGCCAGCACCCTGCAGTGGCTCGTAGCCCTAAAATCCGTGGTCTCCATGACTATCTGTCTTGTCATTGCTTGCAGACAAAATGAATCAAAAAGCGAGCCAGCCGACGGGACTGCTTTTATAGGAGCAGTGTGTCGCGCATGTTAACTCTGGCAGCAGATGCATGCTTTCGTGTCACGGAATTCATCCTTGTCCGAAGCGGGGCTCCAGCTGGAAGTGCAAGTGCATGTGGCAATCGCTGACATGGAGCTTGTGCAGCCTCTCACAAGCTAGCTCTCTCTCTCTCTCTATATATATATATATCTCTCTCCTTGTCTCTCTCGCTCTCTCGCTCTCTCACTCTCTATCTCTCTCAGCGGGAAATCCTTTTGACTGACGTTCTTGGGAGGTGGAGCTGTTGGCATGTTGCCGACAAGGGACGTTTCCGTAGTGAGCACACTGAAGGAACATGCGAAGAAGGCAGCATGGCGAAATGCCGTGGGCTTGCTGCAAGGTGCAGGAAACTTGCTGGCTCGTCCAAACCTAATCACCTACACCAAGGGCATACGCAGTCTCAGGTACTCTTTCCGTTGGGCAGATGCTGTGGCTCTGCTGGGGCGTCTCCGTATGGAACTCGAGCCAGACACTGTTTGTTTTGGGACCGTCTTAGGGACATGCAAAAGCTGGCATGCAGCACTGCGTGTGATTGAGACGTTGGACACTACATCCATGAGGGTCGGCGAAGTCATGCTGGGTCTGGCTACTACTTCATGTATGCGCCAGATGCTGTGGCAATGTGCTGGGAGCCTTCTGCGAAGATCTTCCAATGACCAGAATGCTCCCGACTCGCAGAGTTACACTGCCGGAATTCAAGCTTGTGTCGACTGGCGTATGGCCTTACAGAAATTTCAAGACATGTCGACACTTCGAATCTGTGTGGATGATATGGCCACGAAAGCCGCCATGAACTCATTGTCTCAAGCTGGGCTTTGGCCGGAGGTGCTTCAGATGTTCAGCAGGTTAGATAGCATTGACCGAATTAGTTTTTCCAGTTGCAAAACTGCATGTGCCAAAAGCGTCAGCTGGGCAATGCCTTTGGCCCTAGTGGATAGTGCATTATTTCTGCAGGTGTCTTTGGATATCATTGACTTCAGCACTGCAATTTCCGCATGCGAAAAGACAGGAAAGTGGGCCAGCTCTATTGCCCTGCTTGGCGATGCTGTGCGGTGCAAACTGCAGACTGACGCTCTTTGCTGGGAAGAGTCGATGCCATCTTCATGGCAGCTGGTCCTTTTCCTCAGATCCGAGTTGGATCGCATCTGTCTGCCGGCACGGATAAGTTCGTGCAATCGTGGCATCACCGCATGCCAACGAGGTAATCAATGGCAGGTTGCACGGTGTCTTCTGCATTCACTTCACGATAGTCTACGACGAGATGTCGTTAGCTACAATTCGGCAGTCGGAGCTTTCCGCATCTCGTCTCAGTGGCAGCCCGCCCTCGTCACGTATGAAGCAATGGCTGACGCTTAGCTACAGGATCCGATTGGTTCCTTGACGCGTCTGCTTTTTGTGAGATCTGACGTTGTCGTGGCGAGAGCAGCCTGGTTCCGAAAGCAAGCTGGAGCTTCAGGAAAATGCGCAAACTACAGTGGCGGGTTTGGCAAACATTCTGCGGATTTCGAATAACAAGTCGAGAAACCGAAAGGACCGACTCGGGAAGCAGCATCCATGAACCCTAAGCTTTGGGAAGTCGTCTTCCGAATTTCTGCCCGAGTTCTCCGAATCGTTCTTGAGCTTTAGTGTTGTTGCTTCCTTTTTTTCCGAGTTCGTCCGCAGCGTTGGATCAGACAACAAGAAGCAAATGAGGATACACGAAAAAGCGGACAATATCTGCATGATGATGGTATGGTCTTGCGAGCGTCTGAGGAGCAGTTTGGTGGTGAGGGTACTTCACGTAGAGTCGTTTGGCCAAGTGTTTGTGGACAAAGCATAAGTATAACAGTATAAGCACAGAATTGGAACTTGGGCCAATGCCAGGACTCGTTACTGCCAAGTTTCAATCATGTCAGCATTATTAATCGTTCACACATGTAAGAAGAAGTAAGTGTGCGAGCCTCTGTTGCAACATGAACCTCAGAACCTCGTGGCTTCTCAACCAGCCTTTGCTTCTTGCATCTTTTTGCGCTGGAGATGTGTATTCCACGAAATATAACAAATTTAGCCTGGGAGGAAAGGAGGGAAACCTATTGGTTATCCCTCGCTCCATCTCCGGCATCTCCCACTTCGTGATGTTCGTGGTTCTGTCAAGTTCAGAGGGCATTTACAGATTGTTAGATGAATGCCGACCCCAAACCGTGTTTTGGCTTTTTGTCTTTGCCCCAGTTCCCTCTCTGGAGTCAAGCCCCCCCAATATTTTTTGCAGTAGTACAAGCGAAGTCGCGGAACAGTTTTGTGAATGCGGCCCTTGTCGTGTAGATCTGGGTTGCTACTAGTAGGATGGGATTTCCCGACTCACTCACGGCACAAACAAGGTGGATGACTGTAAACTGGCTGGGCCCATACAGAGGTGGGCAGTCAACTGTCCCATCAAGGTCGAGGTCTTCTGCATGAAAGTAAAGTTTAACGCTATGCGTCTCGGCTGCTGAGGGCTGAGGGCACGGAAAGCTGCGGCTTTGCATGAGTAGTCTACCCATGCCAAGCGTTGTTTCCTGCTAGAGTATCGTTGAGAGACCAGATTGCGGTAGATCTACCTCATCCTGCATGCGAGGCAAGCATGTTATCAGGTATCCAGCCACTTGTGCTCAGTACACGGTTACAGCAAGAGTTCGTGCGAGCAGCGCATAGAGAACAGCTACAAACAGAACATGCAGACAGAAAAACCGGGAACAAAGGCAGCAACGGCAGGGCAAGGCGGGTCTATTGCAAGTTGGCAAGGGGGGGGAAGGAGGAGGGGAGGTAAGCGGAGAAGCAGGGAAAAGCGCGCAAAAAGTGAGGGGGTCGAGGAGGCAAAGGCCGAACAAGTCAGGTAAAATCACGAGAAGGTGAGGGTTTTGCCAGAGCATGGCTCCGAACGATCATGACACTGCACCCGAAACCTGCCCGCTTTCGTTACCGTCAAGCGAGCTGAGCCAGTGCACCACATCATGAAACACGGACATGCTCGGACAATCGATGCCTACTCCTTTCTCAAATCCATTGTCGGGTTGCTTAGCATGCATGCTTCCGACTATCGGAGTAACATCTGCTAACGTCTTGCACGCGAGAGTCGCAGAATGTCGCAGAACGCTCAGGAAGATGCCGTGGTGCCAGATTCCGCATCCAAGAGGATTGTGGCCAGTTCAGTTGGAAGATGCTCATCCTGGCCCCATGCGCTCTTTCTGGCGACCAGGCGGCTTGTCTTCACATCACGACCAACCATTTAGGTGCCTTCTACGTCATATTTGTGTGGGAGTTGCCTTCAGCACGGCCTGGGTCCAAACCCTTTGAGAGTTTGGAATGTCTTGTTTGGTATTAAAGCACGCAAGCCTACAAGGAGTGGAGCACATTCTGGCTTGCATGCTGAACACAAGTTTCGGGATTTCAGGGTTTATTTAGTCGAATGCTTGTGGTTTCCACGTCTTTTGAGAATTTGCTTTTGTGCTTGTTGGGATTTGTCTACCCGCTGGGTATGCTTAGCCGACAGCATGTTAGGGGCATGCCGGGGCCTGGAACCTACATTCTGAGACGTACTGGTGGACCCATTCGTCCTGAAAGTTTGCATCACAGGTGCGTGCTCGGACGACTCGACGTTCTTCTGTTCAGTGGCCACTTTCCTGTTCGACTCTTTAGTGCCCCGCCTCCGCTCCTAGACTTTCCGACTCCTGTGTCTCGCTTCATTCTGCTTGTGGTACTTTGATGCACACTTGCAGATTTCTCCCAGCTTGGTCGCTCTGATAGCCCGTAGCACGCGCGTTTCTTTCGCTGGAGTTTGGTGAAGCAGCCCTTGCCATGCTCAGGCCTGAGCAAAGCTCAATTGCAACCGATCTGCATTCCATCACTGCCAGTTTGAACTGGGAGAAGGCTTCTGCCTCCTACGATTTAATGGTCCAACAAGGTGTCTCATGCAGCCAGTTGCGGTGTCATTCTTTGGTATCATCGTGTGCGACCGCAGCACTCTGGAGGGAGGCAGCTTCTGTCTACGAAAGCGCCGTGGTCGGGACCCTGCAGCCAGACGCCGAGTTTTGTGAGACCCTCATCTCCGGTCGTACAGACCAATGCTGGCAGCTCGCTGTAAATTGCATGAGCGACCGTCTGAAGTCTGGCAAGTCTCGGACCACATTCTGGTATCGGTATATCCAAGCCTCCGCCAGCAAAGTAGGTTGGTCCGCTCTTTTGATTGTGCTCGCTCGGTTTCGTGAAGCTTACGGAGAGCCTGATCTGAAAATCAATGGCATGCTCTGCGAATCATTCAGGCAAGCTGGATGGCGCAAGGTCATGGCCTTGCTTCGCCACGTTGGATCAAAACAGGTCACGTCAGATTCATTTCTATACAGCAGTGCCATGAGTTCTTGTCGATCACAAGGGAAGTGGCTGCTGGCAGGGGCATTGCTGGATCACTGTGCGAGGACTGTCCAGTGTGACACAGTCGTGTGGAACACATACATAGCAAACAAAGGCCTCATCTGGCCTGCAGCTTTGAATGCTGTGGGTAGTATGATTTCTGCTGGCTTCGAAGCGGATGTGGTTTCATACAACTCGATGATGGCCACTTACAGCGACCATTGGCAGCGAGCTGCGGCCTGCTACGAGCACATGGAACTGCTGAATCTGGAACTTGATGTTGCTTTTCCAACAGCGATTGATTCTTGCAAGCACGCCGGCCGGGAGGAGATTGGGAAGCGCATAGTGATTGGTGCCAGGCATGTTTCGTGCATCCTGCGATTCTGGGCAATGGCGGAGATGGTCATGCTAACAGACTTGAAATCCTGCTTTGTAGAAGTGTTGCAGCAAGTCAACACACAGAAGATGACAACTGCAGAAGTCTCCAAACTGTGGTGGACCGCTGCTTCGCTTGGCCTCCACCACCCCACCCTGCTCACACATTTGGAACATAATGGTGCCCGCTTGTTGAGGCAATTCACACTTGAAGAGATGGTCGCAGTTGCCATGGGGGCCTGCACCACCGATGCTGCAACGCACTTCCTCTGCGCTCTTCGAAAGGAAGTTCGTAGGCGGGCGGCCGCCATTGAGCGACAAGAAGGGACTGGCCGACAAGAAGTTTTACAGCAATTTGTTGGCATGCTATGGGCCCTGAATTTTGCAGTCCCTATCAGTAAGCGTGATTTCACCAGCTTTAGGCAATTCTTCAATCGGCTTGCGATTTTCTTGGACGAAGTCAGCTCGCCAGAGAGGCAGGAGGCTCGATTCGCAGAGCAAGTTCAGTCGTGGACCGCTGTCAGCCGCTCGCTCAAGTCTCCCCTTGTCCTTCTGACGCCACCAGACTGCGTAGTTACTGCGAAACCGGCTGGTTGGGAGGTATATGGTGACACGAAGCTGCAAATGCTGCCGTATGTTCAGACGGTGCTGGGAAAGATGCCAATCCATGAGGACCGAGATCACGCCTTCGGATTTCTGCACCGCTTGGACATTCCCAGTTCAGGTTTGATTTTGTCGGCAGCAACATATGCAGCCTTCTACGATTTACAGCTTCAGCTGGTATGCGGCCGCCTTCTGCGAGACTATGTTGTCTTGTGCCACGGGCATGTGCCACACGTTCGAAACGAGATTCAAGCACGGCTGAAGCTCACAGACGTGGCGCATGCTGGTGCTCAGGGCAAGGCTTCTCGCACCTTGGTAAAGATGGCTGCGAGAGCGACAGGTAATGCAGGTGCATCACACAGCCTTGTTCTGGTGCGCATACTGACAGGGCGGCTACATCAAATTCGAAGTCATTTTGCTTTCTTTGGACATCCGACTGTGTCAGACAGCAGGTATACAAGCGCTGCAACTTTTGGTTCCGACCTCGCGAGTTGCCCACGCAACTTCGTGCATCGATACCATCTTGCTTTTGAGGATCGTACGAGCACTGGTTATCAGAGTTTTATGCCCATTCCTTCTGATCTGTGTGGCTGCCTCAAATCGTTGGCAGCATGTGACGAATTGTCAAGCAAGCGGCTGAAGTCATGGGTGCTGGGACGAGAGCTCAACTGGGAAGAATTCCCACCGCTAGGTCCGCGGCTATGAGGAAGGCGAGGTACAGCCGCTTCGTGTTTCCGCCCTGGACGATCAACTCGTCGATCTCGACTGCTGCCGTGGGAAGTTGACACCTTAGAGCATGCCTTGGTTTCTTGCTGAGATCAGCCTTCAGAAACCGGCTCTGCCCCAAGCGTCTGCAAACCAGATTTCGACCTGCCAGGAGGCCATGGCACATCCGGAAGAAGCGCCGACCAGCGACTATGGGCAACGGCCTCGACCGCAAACTTCCTGTGTGGATCCGCGGGTGCGCGCGAGACGCGCGTGTGCGTTGGTTGCTCTTGCCTGGGATTGTCGACCTGACAATTGCACCTGCCTTTCTGGGGCCATACCCAGTCACAGTAGGGTTTAGGTTTCAGGGTTTGGGCATGCTGTCTTGGGGCTTTCGGCCTAAGTTTTGGAGGTTTGTTTGGAACCTCGGCAGAGAGTCAATTCACTTCAGGTCAGTCCCGACGTAACAGTAGCGCCAAATTTCTTCGGACCTGCATCACACCGGCGAAAATGAATGTCCGAAACTGCGAAGAGTGGACCAAAGATAGAAGGGCTTACCTAGTTTATGGTTCAAGGACTCGGGTATTAACTTTTGTCCCAGAAGTCGCAAAGTGAACGCATAAATAAAGTATAAAGTCTCCGCCTACCATCGCGGCTCTGCATGGGTGAACCCTCTCTGTGCATCGTACTGGCTTCGTGTCGATAGAAGACTTGGGAGAACAATGCTGCATAACCATTGCAATGTCAAGCCCCAAGTACGAGTAAGAGCACAGGGGGGGTTAGGAATTGTGAAGATCGGTGCCAAAACGTGTCTTGGCTGAACATTTTCTGTTGCCTTCAAGGCCCGAACCCCCACGTCATAAACCCGAAAACAAACAAAGCCGGCACCACCCGCACCACCCGCGAACACAAATTGCAGTTCAAGAAAGCTCATTATAAAGGGTGTCGAAGGCCTTTCGGGTTTTGATTGTGGCTGGGGTCCCAGGCCCATATTCTCCCATAAACGACCCCTTGTGATTGCCGGACGGGCAGATTGGCTCGCTCCAGGTTCCTCTCGGGCCTGTGAGGGTTCTCCAGGGCTCGTTTCGCAGCTCGATGAACCATTCTGATTTTCCTGATTTTTCCTGGCTTTTTGCTAGTCAGATGGCTCAATCAATGCTGCTGTCATGTTCGGGCCGGACACGGCAGCATAGCCAGGCAGTTAGCGCGATGCCTCAGCCACCTTGCCCTCTCCCATCCACCCACTGTCAGGAGCCTATGTGTTTCAAATTTGGCTGCACTCCTGTTCTTTAACCTGGCACCTGAGACAAATGAAACAATTGACCATTGTGATCTTCTGCAACGCTTGGGAATCGGGTATTAGAACACCAGTTCACAGAAGCGATCGGCTTCACTGGAGAATTGCTTACTAGCGAAAAGCCTCCAGTGTTCCTTCTGACTCCTAATCTTTCTTGTCCGAAGCCACATGATCCACATGCTCATGATCACGGCCAGTAGACGCCAGAAGCATTTGTCGGCACTTCATCGATCGGATGCCGTTGGCATTGCCTGCAGCAACGCAGACACCAAGTAGAACATCTGACAGGTGCTATGCAAAGACACGGATCGTCTTATCTCTCTGACATACCGGCTGAAGCTCGGGCAGACTCGAGAACCACGGACAACCATGGACCATGGGTCATGTTGGTAAAGCTTTGAGCTTGTCGTCCTTGCTTGTCGTTGCAAAGCTTCTGCGTCTAATCGAAGCACTGGTTGAGTTCAACTACAACCGTGCGGTAATCTGCTCCCGAACGTTCGATGCAGTCGACTCCGGCAAACCTTGTAGTTTTTGTTATGGTTTACACTAGCGTTTTGCAATGTGCCTACCTAGATCTAGACAGGAATACGAACAAGCAGGGGCAACGTAGAGGGCATGCCATCATTTGTAGAACACAAAGGGTTGTTTGGGGATCAAGTCTTTAGATCATAACTGGCCACCCGAATATCGAGAGCTATCCGAGTTCCTGGCTTTTGTACATGGACAGAGTCAAACCTGAGGAACCCGGAACCCATCTCAAAACAGAGCGTGTTGCACACACTCAAGATTACAATACTATTACTGCTAGTAGCAATTGTAGCAACAATACTGGCACCAACAGTCAATGTACTTACACCAATGTGACAACTCATGACATGCCATCTCCCGGCGGAAACAGCCTCAGTCAAGAAATGCTTTCTGTAGACTATCCTTCTCAGTAGATCTCAAGCCATTGAGCCAGTGAACCCTAAACCCGGATTTCTGGACCTTCATGCAGACCACAATCCAAACCTGAACGCTTTAACTCCAATCCCCAGGCCCCGAACCTTAAATAGACGTCACTGTTCTCTCTGACCTATCCCTGCAACGCGAGCTCGTGGTGGGTGGGAGGCCAAGAAACCTTAAACCCGAAGACCTGAAGCCCAAGCTCCCTGACATTACAGGAGAAGGGGGATGACCAAGGTGAAGGCGGAGATGATGGAGGCTCCCGAAACCTAGATGATGACTTGGCCAGCTCTTTGTACAAAGGTCAGGCAGTTAGATGCAGGTGCAATAGAAATGGATATGTGTAGACGGAGACTGAACACAGTAATTGTAGAGAGAAATGCATTGGCTAGGGAGTATTTATGTAGGTTGTCCTTCCTTTCTGCACGCAGGAATGGGCAGGGGATCCGGTTCTGACACGTCTACCAATTGTTATCATTGTTATCATTGTCAGTCTTGTGAGAAGTTGATGTTGTTGGGTTTCGCGTGTGTGGTTCTGGAAAGTATGGTGTTGCTGATTACTTCAAATGGTCATTCCGCATAAAAAGCATGAGCGCGCGCATCATGGCACCAACATTGCCTTTCCCATGGCAAGTGTAGGATTAGTGTATACAGAACTGCCCAGGAAGCCTTTGCTCTCTCTGTCTCTGTCTCAGTTATTTTTGCCGTTGTCGCCAGCGTCGTGTCAGTGTTGTTGCTATTTACGACCTTTCCTTCCTTCGTCTGGTTACTGGTTGCTGCTTTTGCTAGTCCAAGGAGGCTTCGAGGCTGGATTGTGGCGTCGGGCGCGGGCATGCGTCGGCGAACCCAACAACATGCTGTCCCATGAGTTTGATGTTCTGAAACATGTCGCGACTAGTCAGCCATGTAATTTCCCAAATTTGGAAGACTTCTCCACTTCACTGTGCCGGAAAGTCCACTCTGCTCTCCCGGCTTGATGAGCTGCGATGTCACGGTCAGTGGGACCCCAAAGTCTCTGCCCCAAAACAATAATTCCAAACAGGTACTGTTAACTTCAAGGAACCCGCAAATATTGCATGTGCCTGAAGAGCGAATTCAGTTTCGAGCGAGGCCGAGAGCCCCGGGCCTGCCAAGGGTTTGTGAGGGGTTTCGGGTTAAAGGGGTCTCACGCGACGGGGTTTAAGTTGAGAGGTTTCGGGTTTCGGGTCTCACGCGAGGGGGTTTGAGTGAATTGGTGGGGTTTAGGGTTTAGGGTTAAGGGTTTAGGGTTTAGGGTTTAGGGTTTAGGTTTTAGGGTGGAAGG